TATTATTTGTAAAATAAAAACAGTGGAATAAAATAATTAATTTAACAAAAAGTAAAATAACTTGGCGCTTCTCATGCGCGAAAGAGTGATCACAAAAATAGTAAAATCAACCACACACGATTGCGCGCGCTGGCTTTCCCGCGCTAATTCTGATCGATTGAGTCCTGTAAAGGCAGTAGTCATAATTTATTTATAAAAAATGCCGAAGTACCTTCAGTTAACACAATTGTTAAGTACTCCACTCCCCGCCTTATACATATTTATCTAACTAAAGAGTGTTTTCAACACTATTTTTATTTACAATCTTTACGACCATATGATCACCTTTTTTAGCATTTGTAGGTATACTAAATTATTTTTATTTTACTATGTTGGCAATATTTCGGTATTCTTTTTAAATTCAGTCTGTTTGTTTAATATACGTAACGGATGCCGAACTTGCTGTCAATTAGTTCACTGCTGATTGCATAATGAATATGGCGAAAAGACCTACGTCACGAGTTGGCACTGATGAGTTAATGTATCTTTATCAATACCTCTCCTTCGCCCCACCCTGCTATTTGCGCCGTGCCCAGCCATGCCACGGGCTTTCGCCATAATTAGTACATAAAAATGTGTGCTATATTCTCAAAATAAGTACTAAGTAGTTGAATTAATCACATCGATATCTGTAGTACCTACACGTAACTTCTCTGGAAATTACAACAAATTATATTATTTTTAATATCTATAATGAAATTATTTTAGACTATATTATCTAAACTGACTATGGTATTCAATGCTTATTTTTGAGTAAATGTAACAGTTTTTAATACTCCATTGATATTATTATTGTCATGAACTGTATCTGCGATATGATTTTTAATAAGAGGTTTTGAATATGCATTTTTTTTCGAAGATGGTATATATATATATATATATAGGTATATATGGATATTTTATGTTTTCATCTCATTACAGATCTGATATTATATAAATGACTGTCCTGTAGTTTATGACCCCTTGACGTTTTAATTACACCTCGCACTTCTACTTACACCATTTCGTTAAGGGTATCAAATACATGAACTTAAAAAAAAGAAGTTGCCTAGCAGCATAAATATGACCGAGCGCATTTTAAAATTTACTCCTCATTTCACGCTACAGATTCTAATGAGATTGGCTGTACTAATTATTATTACTCGAAAAAATAGAATAACTTAATTTTAAGAAATATATTGTTTTATGTTTTGTATATTTTGTATCTAAGAATAATTGAATTGGTCTCCAATTATACAATGTGTGTTAATATTATTATCTAATTAATATTTATACTTTGCCATTAATTTATTTTACATTGCCTGAAATATTTTAGGTAATATCTGCTGTAATATTATTATCAACAATGTCATGAATGAGCCAAAGGAATCAAAATTGTTGCGCCGTCTCCGCGCGGGTTGTGAATAGCCGGTAGTAGGTAGATCTGTTGTGTTAATTATTTCAAAATTTTATTATGAATGTTGAAATTCTATTATAGGCTTGTTATTATTAATGAATTGTGCGTACACAAACTTAACATGTTTATTTACACGTTGACGCGTAATTAATTATTATGTATGTTAATTATATTGCATTCTCTGAAAACTTTCCTTTACATAAAGGATATCTCCTTATTGGATTTTATCATTGTTTATAACTCGCTTAAATTCTATCTTTAGTCTTGTGACGTATAAACAAGAAGCCATCATGGTTGAGGCGAAATTTCGTATAGCACGATATTTTCTCTAGAATATGCCGCTATAGACTGTAAGGGGGTGGAAATTGCCACTTGTTACCGTCCAATCCGCTCCCAAAACCGCGGTAACGGTTGTAACCGTGCAAGAAATGCATCATCCTGTAATATAAATCCAATATTTCAAATGTATTTAAAGAAAAAGCCATACCGGTGCAAATTATAATTTATTTATTATTATTTTCTCTCATGTCGGTTTAAAGAAATCCTGTTTCAGTAAACCTGTACTTTCAAATTTTATAATTTTATAGCTCTACTTTTGAATTTCCGTTCTATTAGTCGGTCAGAGGTTTAGTTTAAATTTATTTATATAAATAAGGGAAATGAACATAACACCTTGTAACCAGAAACTTGTAAAACTCTATTTAGTTTTTACGAACCATTTGCATTATCTTTGTTCTATTACGAGTGCCGGCGGCCTAATCAGGTAACACTTTACTAACAATTCTTGATTAAAACAGATGCTCTCAATAGAAATTTACTCTAATATCAATAGAAATTTACCATAATACCATTCCACATTTGCAGTTACTTGCTATACAACTTAGCTTACTAATTTAACATTTGTAACTCTGAAATGGTTTATAAAAAATATGACCACACAACAAACAATTGAGGATTGTAGGTAAGAGCTTTATATAATTCAGTTCCTGGACTTATAATATTTTACATATATAAAAAAATGAATGGCTTTTATTACAGGACGCAACTATATTCTTACTCATGTATTCATGAAATATTGATGAATGAATTATGTCATAAAATATATAAGAAGTAATAAATAATATTTCTCACGATTCAGTTTAAAAGGCTGTACATCTATTCGTCTGTATAAAATTTGTATTTAGGATCAATAGTTATTAGTCGATTTATCGAAAGTTCTTAGTAAAAAATTATAAATTCACGTTAGAAAAATCGAATAGTGATTTATATAAAACATTGTAAATCACGAATATAATTATGTAAAACCGTGTCGTAATTTTATTTTATAATCTGCAAATAATATAAATATACATATATGTATAATAATTTAGCTACTCAACATTTTCTTACCCAAAATATATTGACTGGGAAATGTTATTTATTTTATTATATTCTTTATATGCAACATTTAAATATATATTATATATAAATTAGATGTAACATTTCTAATAGCTTCAGTTATTGGTCCTTTTAGTAAAATAAACACAAGAAATATTAGTTTAGATGTCTTTTAATGATATCATTAGAAAATTTAAAGTCATTAGAATATCTGTAACTCTATTAGCGAAAGAATTAAATGAATTTTTATTGCTCAGTAGTAAACAACAGTATTGTGTAAATGGATTGATCAATTATTTGACTTGTAAGTAGAGTTATTTTGAATGGAGCCGTAGTCAGGGGTATGGAAAATGTTGTCAAAGGCTTTTATTATTTTTTTCTTACCATAGAATAATTTATACAAATTATATTTCAGACTATGGCCCTGTTATTAGGTGTAATTTAAAGTTAAGTTAAAATAATTATTATAGAAATCATTTTAAGAGAGTACTGATATTGTTATAACTATTTTAATAAGTTAAACATAATCAAATAAATCGTATTTGATCAAAAGTCCAAGTCCAAATTACATTCCAATTGTATATCTTTGTACATATGTAATAATATAAAATATTGGTCATGCATTGAACAGCTTTAACGATGCTATACCTACTAAGATATTATAAATTGCTCATCTATTCTATACGAATTTTCTTACTATACATACATTCAAGGCATTTAAGTACATGTTATATATTTGGTATAGGTGAATTAGTAGGTGAGTTCGATGGTTTTACTTTTACATTTTAAGCATTTAATTTCGAATTTAAATCTCAGAAAGGTATGGTCATCTCAATATTAACAGTACATTACATTGAATAAGTCTTACCCTTTTGACATATGAGGTACCATGAATTATTTTGTAATATTTGAAAAGATACCTTACTACATTATATTTTTATATGCATTATGTATTATTAAGTAAAGTACCAAATTTTATTTAAAAAAGAAATAAATTATCATATTAAAAGGTACATATTTTTACTTGTATTGATTTTAATGTATTGCAATGCATTGATTTTAATATATAATTAAAATATTGCAATGGCAGCTTAAATTTCAAGTTTAGTATATTATCTATGATATAATTACATTATCGATAGTCCTATAGTTCTTTTAATATCTTCATCTACATTTCATTTACTCACATACCTAATTGCTCAAAATTTATTTTATTCTGTTTATAGCTCAATACTACAATATATTTATATAAAATATGTCTATACGAATACATGTTATTACTGTATCTAATAAGTAAATTATAGAAAACATTTTAGTATTTATCAGTATTAATATTTTATTACGTTCTTGAACACCAATAACTTGGAAAACGTGTGTATGTGTTAGGAGATTCAATAGAAAAACATTGAATATCCTAATGTATCTACACTGCCAAAATAATATTGTTATGATACTAAATCTTTGTGAATTACATTTGATGGTATTTTTATTTTAAGGGGTCCATTGCTAATGAATTTAGACTCGAGTTTAGATCTGTTTGTCCATACAATGTATTATTTTGCTGGAAATAAAAAAAGGATGAAAGATCTGTTACTATTATTTGATGTTTTAATAAGGAGTAATATTCTTTAAAGTTTAGATTCTAGTTTCTTGAATAATTAAATATTATTTAGCTACTTTCTAATAATACCTACAAACATACAATGAGTGATGTTGTTGTTTTGTAGTATTTTCAAAAAACAGCATTTTATCTATGATTATAAATCAGGGTGTAATGAATTTTCTTTATAATTTCGTAACTGTGAATAAATACTGTGTGATATTCTCACAAACCACACATTTCTGTTAAATTGTGATATCATAGACTTTTGTCTCAGCTTATCCTTTTATTTTCCTATTTTATCATCATGGATATACAAATATTAAATAAATATATTGTTTTATCAATCGTTATTGTAAGTAATAACAATTATAGATTTGTCAATTTTCGACATATTTAAGTGAGCGGTTGCCTGTGCTTGCATCACTGTGGTTATGTGGTAACTGTGACCCCATGACAGAATCTCTAGTTTGACTTAATTCATGACATCAATTAGAAATCATGGCAGTATTATATCTAAGCAATATATTATATATATTTGTTTAAGCTAATTGTATAAATGTTTATAAATAAAATATACTGTTGGTTGTAAAACAAATTTTATTTCGATACCATTGAGTGAAATTCTAACAAGTCTACTGATCTTTTTGTGTTAAAAGATGTGTTTTAATTTTCTGTAGTAATTCTTTCTTCACTGTGTCGGGGACTAATGCTCGAGCACGAGGCGTGACCCTTGTCACCAACATATCAAAAGTGACATTGCTGCTCTCATTTTCCTTAACTATCTCACGACACAACATTCTCACTTGATCTCGCCAGCCACATTCAATTAAACGTCTTCTCAATAATTCTTTGAATCTGAAACATGAGAATTCTTGCACTGCTTAAGTGATTATTGATATTAAAAAGTACTATTAACGAATATGCTCACCTTTCTCGGTCCCCACTTAATATTAAGCGTTGATGTGCAATTGTATTATTAACAGTCATGTCGGCTCCTAAAAATATAAAAAGATAGAAATAATTTTTGACAATGTTTTGTTGACACACATTTATATAATACTAGCAGACCCGGCACTGCGCTGGTGTGGGTAAGGTTCTTGCATAAAATAATATTGCGACACGAAAGTTAAGATGTTACCTACCCTACCTTTCAATTGGATCGAATTGCAATAGGTAGTTTAGGAGTCCAACGCGGACAAACAACGTGACACGTATTTTTTTTTATATAAAGATGTTACTGTTGTTACTAGAGAAAATGACTATTTTTATTAAGGTTAAAGAGCCTATCTCCATTCTCAAGATACTATAACGATTAAGAGGCATTTAGCCTGTTCATGAAAATAGCCCTTTAGTCACGAAAAGGTACATACAGATACACTTTGGCAAATATAATAATAGTATGGAATGTTAGAGCTAAGCAGACAAGCCATTTTAATGACAGGTAACTGGTATAAAAATAATATCTGTATATTTATTTACCATTTTCTATAAATTTGGTAAGGATAATAGAGGATAAGGATATGACATGTATTTATACTTTTGCGTTAATTTATTTTACTTACTTTTATAATAAGGATTCAAGAAATTTATTTCTTATAACAAATAATTTTCAGTGGTGTGGGTAAGTTGTTTCAAATATTTTAACTTATGTTCTTATTAAGACAATACCATGGATAAATCTTCAATGTTTTGTTATTATTTTATTTCTAATGAAACAAATACAATTATCAATTAACTAACCTATGTTTAATAATAACAAACAAGATAGAATTGTTTGTTGCAGTCATATCATAATTTTATTTGACATACTGACACAGACTGACACTGAAATGACCCTAAAGTATATGAATGTGACAGTGACAACATGATTTATGAAAAGGCTGTTTTAAGTAATATGAATAATAATATTTTTATTTTACAATATGCAGACGATCTGCTTTTTTATGCCATAGACAAATCTGTTCAAAAATGCTGTTTGAATTTGACATCTGCATTAAAATATCTAAAGCTTTGGTTTGATCAGAATGCATCGCAGTTGTCACTTAACAAAAGCAATGCAGTTTTGTTCTCCAGAATGCGTATGCCTCCTCCTATTTCTATATATTATAATAATTGTCTTTTACCTGTAAAAAGTCAAAGCAAATTTTTAGGAGTAATACTAGATTCAAAACTAAGTGGACTTCCCCATTGCGAATACATTACTTTAAGATGTGAACGATTATTAAATATTCTTCGATGTTTGTCTGGAACTTGGTGGGGCGCTCATCCGTGTTCACTCAAACTGTTATATAACACCATTATTAGAAGTATATTGGATTACGGCACATTTCTACTAGAGCCGGGTAGCTCAGCTGGTCTTAAAAAACTGGATGGCATACAATCAAAGGCTTTACGAATTGTAACTAGGGCTATGCGATCAAGCCCGATAAATGCATTGCAAGTGGAATGCTCAGATCCGCCATTGTATTTAAGACGTCAATATCTTTCTGATAAATTTTTATTTCGCAGTGCACAATGTACTACTCATCCCCTATTTAGTAAATTAAAATTATTATCTAATTATATTAATAATTCTGAATACTGGCGCCATAAATCTATTCCTTGTATTATAAAGAGCTTCCAGAAATTTTCATCTCTTACATCTCCTACTCATCGTTCACAATATTTTCCCATCTTCTGTACGAATTATGAATCATTAATTCTTGAACCAAGTATAATTTTTGACCTTAATATTCATAAAAATCACGACTCAAATATAGAATTTAACTCAACTGTAGACAAGAAATGGCGGAATTGGCACCGAATTTTTTGTGATGCATCTAAACATCATCCAACTGGATGTGTTGGGATCGGAGTTTACCATTCAAAATATAAAATAGTCCAAAAAATAAAACTTCCTCCAGAAACATCTGTATTTACTGGTGAATGTTTTGGTATTTACAAAGCTCTCGAATATATATTAATTATGAAACTTCAGCAAACAATAGTGTGTACTGATTCCAGAAGTGCACTGTTAGCTCTTCAAAAATTTCCATTTAAATCAAATATTAATTATCCTATTATCATAGAAATCAGAAAATTGCTGCAGTTATGTAACTCGAGGGGGTTCTCTGTCTCGCTTACGTGGATTCCAGGACATACTGGCATACATGGGAATGAGATAGCAGATCGCTTAGCGAACGAGGCAATTGGATGCGGTGATATTGTTCCATATAAAAATTATTGTCATGATCTGGCTGCTCTCCCAGGATTATATCTACATAATGCTTGGAGTGAATTTTGGCCTAATAGCTGCCAGAATAAGGCACGACATTATTTTAACATTCAACCAACTATTCAGTTTAAACCTTTGTTCTTCAAAATTAATTTGAACAAAAGCGAGACTACGTCAATAATTAGAATGAGATTGGGGCATGTATGCTCTCCTGCACATCTAGCTAAGCTAAAAATTGTAGATAATGATATATGTAGCTGTGGTACAGAAGTGGGTGACTTGAACCATATCATTTTCAGTTGTCCTCTGTATGATCATTCCTACCTTTTTAATAATCTCCTATCTCACCGAATTCCTTTACCTACATCAATTCCAATTTTATTATATCTTAATGATATTGATGTGTATAAAAGTATTTCGATTTTTCTAAGTAGTAATAATATAAAATTGTAAATATAAAACTGACTGCCTCTATATAAATATATCATATGTAAATAGTTGTCTGTTAATATATTAAGGTCTTATATAAGTATAATGACATATTGCATATAATTAATATGTATAGTGTAGTACCTTAGTCTAATCCTTATAATTAATCCTATTGTCAACTTACCTGATCCTTTAAACCTATCGTCCAAAATTTCCTTTACCTGAACTACTGTTTCCCAAATTTTGTATATTGGCAAATGCACAGACGTGCCAAGCCATAAAGAAGAAAAAAAAAAAAAAACATGATTTATTTTCTTCTTGTATGGCAGCAAAAATGTTTAAAATTTGTGTTTTTAATATATAAAACTTGGACTAAGTTGGATTATTTTTTAACATTTAGTCATTTGTTATTTATTCACTATTATAGAATTTTGGGTAGATTAGTAGTTATGGTGTTAGTACTAGCATGGTACACTTAAAAATATGTGTTAACGATTTTATATATACAAAAACATTGAGCCTAGATTATTTTCTATCTGAGAAACTCTTACTACGGTTTAGTAAAATGTGAGAAACTCTTACGTTAATAAATATTTTTGTTTTTTATTACCTTTCTCTATAGCAATCATGAGAGGAATAAGAAAATGACTAACAGATTAGTGATAAATGACAATGACACATTGATTGACAGATTGGTTTATTGGTATAAAATAAAAATCTAAAAGTAATTTATTTTGTTATTGTGTCTATTTATTTGTACTTTTATATATTTAGTTAAATTAAGTTCATTAGGTAAATATTATTATTATTGATAATTAAATTATATTGATTAATAAAATTACTATTCTAGACGCTATGTGATGGCTTACACTCACACTTACTGTATACAGATTCAATAAGTGAGCATAAAAATAGACTATTATTTCAATTAAATTCATCCTTTTTTTTCTTATTTTAGGAAAAAGTAGAAAGCCAAGAAATCCACTTCAATGGCTCATATTTTAGTTCTCGACTCTGATCAAGATGTCTTCATTTGTGGTTGTTGTAAGACTGTTTTCTACTCTTTGCAATTGTTTACAAATCACAAAGGTCAGCGATGTATCAAAGATAATCAATCACAATTGATAGATCCTCCAAATAAAGCGTCACCTAAATGTGGTGCAATAATCGACACATCAAATGAAAATAAGGCGATAAAGGATATGACATGTAATAAATGTAGTAAAAAATTTAAGAAAATTAACACTTTACTAGCGCATATGAAGACACACAGTGAGAAACCATATCAATGTCAAATTTGTGGTCGATGTTTTATACAGAATTCTCATTTGCAAAGACACATTAAGTGCCATAGAGTGTGGCCAGAAGGACTTAGTGGTACTACTGCCAAATCTACAGAAGTAGATCTTTTGAGTTATTCATGTTCATATTGTGATATGGTACTGTCTAGTTATATACAGTTTAGAGCACATTTAAAGAATCATTTGTCATTAAAGAAATTTAAATGTATACAAGATGGATGTGTTAGTTTCTATGATAGTATTGAAAATTTACTTAATCATGTGACAATTGATCACAAAAGTCCAAAGTATTCATGCCATAATCCCACATGCAATAATGTGTTTAACTCTTTGGAACAAATTGCAATACATTATCAAAATCATAGTGAATGCAGAACTGAAGCATGTAGCACCATTCCCAAAAAATATAAATGTTTACAATGTGATGCTTCATTTAGGAGATTGGAGAAGTTGTCCTTACATATGCTCACTGAAAGTCACAAAAAGACATGTATTCACTGTGGAAATACATTTGCAAGTGACAAAAGATTAAGACTCCACTTGCAGATACATAGAAAATTAAAACCATTTCAGTGTAATATATGCAATAGCAGTTTTCATATGAAAAAATATTTATCAGTTCATATGTTAAAACATGGTGACAGACAATATCCATGTAGTATTTGTAGCCATACATTTAAGAGATCAGATTTACTGCAACGGCATATGAAAATACATCAGTTAAGGAGAACATTTACTTGTCCATTTAGGGATACATTAAACTGCAAGAAAGAATTTAGCAGAAGTGACAAATTAAAAACACATATTAAACTTCATACAAAACATATGCCAATATGTTCTACTCAACATAAAGAGTTGAATGATAATGAAGCAGGCACTGTAGAGATATGTATAGTACCTTTAGATCACAAGAATAGTATTAAGGAGCTTTAAAAGGGCTAGATTTTTTCTGTTTAAGTGTATAAAATATTTATATAATTGTTGTAACTACTTTATGTATTGAATTATTTTATGTTAATTTAAAAGCTATTAATATTTTATAAACAAAATTATTTAAAAGGTTAAAACTAAATGTTTCATTTTATTCATATACTATATCCCTAGTTAAAAATAATAATAAAAATAAGTAAATAATAAGATATAGAATTATTACAATTTCTAGCAGTTATATTTTTACAATAAAAATTTGGCAAGTTAAAATTATTAATATTCTAAGAAAATGTAATGTATATATAGAATCTCTAAAATTATGTATTGGTGACAGATGGTATAAACGATAATTATTACGTATCTATATTAAACAAATAAAAATACTAAATTTTTTGTCTAATTCGAAATTCAAGCTGACCCAGCTGCGGCTAGTGGTGGTAGTCTAGAAGGTTGGCAATCGACTAGTGGCCAAAATAAACGCTCATAGAATTTCTATTTTATTACAACTCCTATACCTACATAATCCAGCACTGTCATAATATAATACAACTCTGAAACGTTTTGAGTTTTCGTTCGGGAAGAAATTGTTGGCTTGGACTAATAAAACTATAGTAACAGTAATATTGTTTTAAATGTGCGGCCAAAAATATTAAATTATATTTCAATGTACGCGCCGATTGAAGGAGTAAGGGAATGGCGTCTTAATTATCTCGCAGGTTGACATACCCTAATTGGGACACAAATCTTTAGGATTGGAATTTTGCATTTCCTTGCAGTAAGTGTTCACTATTTTTCAGGGCCGGCAGACACGAGATTTCAGGAAAAACCGACATAAAATACTGCCTAGACTACGCAATTCAGTCTCCCCTTCGATCGATCCCCATACCAAATTTAAACGGGTATTGAAATTAGCCGAGTTTCGAACCCAGAGCAAAAAAAGCAAGCAATTTAAATGATAGCAATGCATTTAATGATTTCTAGTCATATATGTAGAGTCGTATTGTTAATTTGCATATTATATTGTAAATCATAATGTAGCTGTATACTTAAACAAAATAATGTGGATATGTTGGTTCCCTTAAAATAAAAAAAACATATAAATATAAACTTAACATACCGGAAAGTAACACTTATATGGTTTCACAGCCGGCATATTCAATTAACTTCCCATTCCATTACTTTAATCCTTAGCTAGTATTCATTTGGGTATCTCTTGAAATACGCCTATGGTAATATGGAGTTTCAAAAAGTATTATTAATCGTTTGTTTTCTTAAGTGTTTCTACTTAGTGAGAGTAAGTGGAATTATATTTATTTTATTATGAACTAGTGATTCGTCATTGCTTTACACGAACATAGATAAGATAATGTGCTAATAAGATATTTTGTTACGGTAAATAGTACCTATACCGCTTTACTTTACTTTGGATGATCAAGGGTTCGATTCTCGCAAATACTTAGTTTGTATTCATGAGTTCCATTGTATTGGCGTTCACAATTTATTAACAATAACAATATCATTTCGGTAACTGGAAGGAACTATAAAATATCTACGCACTTTTTAAACAGAGTACGCCCTAGGTAATATATCTGGATTTGTTGTTATCTTCAAACTTGTACAAAAATATATTGTTACTTATTTTTTTCCGTTATAGGCACGGCAGTTTAGAGTTACAGATCAAGTATATCTAGATATACGTGATGAGAATAAGGACTTGGGTCGAGTTGTAATTGGCTTATTTGGAGATTTAGCACCGAAGGCTGTCAAGAATTTTAAGGTACTGGCTACAAATGGCATAAATGGAATGTCGTACAAAGGCACAAGTTTCAATCGCATTATAAAGAGATTTATGATACAAGGTAGGTGAATTATTTAAAAAGTTTACGTACAATACGATTTACCACACAATCAAATATTGTATCATGAGACCAGAAGAAATTGGCTCCAACGAGGATCATACCCGGAACCGTTTAAGAAAAATTACGCGCCCGGACAACGCGGAGGTGTTTATCTACGCCTAATAAATATTATATATAGTTTATAATACAATATAGTATAGTATAATACAATATAGGTTTTAAAACTAGTAAAATAATAATGAAAAAATAACAAACAAAGCAAAGCCTGTTATATTTTACTATTTACATCTATATGTATGTGCATAGGTCGAATTTATTTATTATATATTTTGTGCTTATTTTTCAGGAGGTGATGTAGTGTCTGACGATGGAACGGGTTCGGTAAGCATTTACGGAGAGTCATTTGAAGACGAAAATCTGGATACACAACACAGTTCAGCTGGATTTGTATCAATGGCCAATAAAGGTAAACATATTAGTATGTTGAAAGTGGTCCAGTAGGTACCTAAGTAACAAAACAATAAATAATATAAGTACAGCATGACGTAATCTCCCCAGATGGATAACTCCAACCATATTTTTTACAGGAAGAAATACAAACGGCTGTCAATTTATAATAACTACAATTGGAACGCCGTGGTTGGATAACTTACATACTATTGTTGGAAAGGTATTTATTTCTGAATTATCTAATAACTGGTGTAAGTTTACTTATCTTGAGAAAATGATTATATCCCTTCCTACCTTTTGGTTGATTTTATGATACTAATTAATTTCATCATTAATATGTATTCAGTTCAAACCTTGTCATCTTAAAGTCGGTTATACAGAAACTTCTCTATTTTGATGTTTATTGAAAACTAATAATAAGAAATTGTGTGACTATTTGAAGATAGTGGAGGGTCAAAACGTGGTGCACGTGGTGGAACATACACCGACGGATGCACAAGATCGGCCCACGCGGCGTGTATATATCGCCGACTGCGGACTCCTACCCACTCCACAGCCGTTTTACGTTTCTGATGATCCTTACGAGTAGGTATCTAGATATTTCGTATTCCTTATTATAACACTACAGCTTACGTACGGTCCACATGATGGAAATCATTTCATCACTCCTTAGACCGCCTACAACCTATCTAGTGGGATTATGATACGATAGATTGTTTATATAGACGTAACTGCATTTATGCTTTTTTTATCTAGGTATAATATAAATATGCAATGATAATAAAAATGTATTTAAGTATGTCCACCATTCATTCATATCTTATTTGTGATGATCCTGTGAGTTGTCTAATTATGTACATAAATGTACTATCATAGTGAAACATTATTAATTTTATTTACAGCATTTGGGCGTGGATCAAGGCGTCTACGGTACCACTGACCATGTCTTTTTCGATATTAGGTTTCTTTCATTGGATGATGCGGAAGATGGAGATATAAAAACTTATCAATTTATGTAAATTAATTTATATGATTGTAATTTGTGAATTAGATTTCAACACCGCTGAATATTAAAAGTTTTACTTATAATATTGGCTGCTTTTTCTTTTTCTCGACCAAAGTATTTTTTTCATAAAAAAGAAATGATGAAATAAATTAACACAATTTCATACGAGATATGTCGTTTCAGTTTTATTTAAAATTATATTTTTTAGGCGGGGTGCCTTGTAACTATTATAGTGGCTAGGCAAATATGCACATGGTTTTGTATCGGATATTTGCAGAGTAAGATAGGAATTAGTGTGTTTTAATGACTTGAAGTGAAAAGGAAAAAAAGTTCATATTTAAGAAAAAGCGTCCATTGTACAGTTGTTATTATTTATTTATATTAGACATTAATTATTATAAAGTATTTAATATTTACAAATAAAACTAGGTACTTTTTATGTATACATTGCTTTTGAACAAAACTTAGTAAGTAGGTAAGAAGGTACCTATATTAATTAACATATAGGTACATTTGTCACAAAGAATTTGTTACATAATAATATGTAACACATACCTACACTTAGCGAAAACATATTAAGAGATCATTCAAAATCCACATACAAAAGAACTTACAGATACTTGTATGTTTAGAATTTTAAGGTTTGTTAATATTTTGATTATTTTAGTTATAGACAGGTAAGTACCTACATTTAACACTGAACAGTAATATAATTATAACCACGTACGATAATATGTAGGTATAGGTTATTCTGGAAGTCATGGTTTAACAAACACAATTAACAAAAGTAGATATATTATGTAACGTATATTATATAGATTTCACTGTTCATTTTTAGGTTAAGTCATTCGGTAGTCTATATAAAAAGTGAAACTTTTGTTTTACAAGCAATATTCATTTATCGTACCGAGTTTATCTGGAAAAACCTGTGCGTCAAATTAAATAAAACGTTTTGTTTCTGATTATTAATTTATTACTATTTGCATCGTTTTCTCTTGTTATTAATTTTTAATTAATACGAAGAGAATGTTTACTTATTTTGTAGCTATCGTGCGTCACAATTATTACATATTGTTAAGCACTTTGAGGTGTTCTGAATTAATACCTACCAGATAATTATAATAATTAAATATATATGCATCTGGATTACATAACTCAAACTTACACTTCAACTCTCACTCTGATACCTATGTTTTGTTTATCTTACACATGATTTATCACACTTTGCCTTGTTTTCAATTTCTGGATATCTGAGATTAAGATCTCATAAACTATTATAGAATATGATCTAAGGATCATGTTCTATAATAATTTATGTTTCTATTACGGAGTGACCGCAATAGAAGTTCACAACGTCAGTCATCACAACCTTATCCCACCAATAGTCATAACATACTGACAGTAAACTTGTCCATAGGATGCCTTACTGCGAATTCGCTGTCGGCTATCGCATTGCAAGATTGATAAAGTGTGTAAAACTGAGAAGTAGCAGTAGGAGGACGTGTGCAGGCGCGACGGGGGCGGCGGCGTCAGGGGCCCCGGGGGTCCCGGCGGGCGCGGGCGCGGGCCGGGCGCGCGCGCTGCGAGGCGGCCGCGCCACACGCACGCGCGCACGACGACCACTCGCGGCACACCTCGCACGCGGTGCTCGCCACCGGCTGGAAGAACTGCCGCGCACGGTGACCTGACACCGTCACAATGCTCGCTTTATTACATATAGGTACACATACATTATATGCTACACGAGCTTCTTTAAATGAGAAATATATAAAAATGAATAAATGTTGCTCCTTAATTTGTTTTTATAGATAACTTTAAATGGACTAATTCATTTTAGTAATCATTAGAGGAGACGACAGCCGCACTCAGGCTATTAGAGAATTATATTTCGCACTGAAATATTCTCCTAATACGTGAAGATTAAGGTGGCGATGAGGATGTATGACGCCATTCCTGAGGATGCAACATACCAAGTTTTCTATTGCTAAGGAACCAAGCAGCTCGTTTTATTAGATGTAATTACATAACGCATTCAATGTTAAAGCGACAGTTACCACTTACCATCAGGTGGTCCATAATATAAAACAAAGTCGCTGTCGCTGTCTGTCCCTATGTATGCTTATATCTTTAAAACTACGCAACCGATTTTGCAGCGGTTATTTTAATAGATAGAGTGATTCAAGAGGAAGGTTTATATGTATAATACCTATTACATGTACACCCGTGCGAAGCCGGGGTGGGTAGCTAGTTAGGTAATGAAATGATATAGTAGGAGTACTGACTGGAGTCGTAGAGATCGATGAGCGTGGCCCAGCCGGGCCGCTGCCTGGCGACGGCGAGAGCACGTGGCGCGGCCAGCGTGGCGCAACGCTCGGAGCGAGCGGCGCGCAGCCACGCCACCACGCGCTCGCCGCCCGCCTGCAGCCGCGCGCCCACCACGTGCCGCCCGCTCTGTGCACACACACCACACACCACACACCATTACGTATCAATATAGAACGCGCAGCGAGTACCAACCCACCACGTGTCGCCCGCTCTGTGCACACACACCACACACCACACACCATTACGTATCAATATAGAACGTGTAGCGCGCAGCCACGCCACCACGCGCCCGCCGCCCGCCTGCAGCCGCGCGCCCACCACGTGCCGCCCGCTCTGTGCACACACACCACATACCACACACCATTACGTATCAATATAGAACGTGCAGCGCGCAGCCACGCCACCACGCGCCCGCCGCCCGCCTGCAGCCGCGCGCCCGCCACGTGCCGCCCGCTCTGTGCACACACACCACACACCACACACCATTACGTATCAATATAGAACGTGCAGCGCGCAGCCACGCCACCACGCGCCCGCCGCCCGCCTGCAGCCGCGCGCCCGCCACGTGCCGCCCGCTCTCCGCCACACACCACACACTACACACCATTACGTATCAATATAGAACGCGCAGCGCGCAGCCACGCCACCAAGTGAATAGAAAGTGAAAAGGCTGAATACATACGCGCTATCCTATTATAGAGTGATCGCAAAAAAATTGTAAAATGCAATCGCAGATGATTGCACGCGCTGACTTTGACGTGCTAAATCACGTTCTTGTGATCGCGCTTGATATAACGTGTCGTGTAAAGGTAGCTAAAGAGAACAATAAAGCGCGTACGGGCCGTCCACCTTACAATTGTGCCAAAAATTACGACGAACTATACGTCTAAGTCTTATTAAATCACATAAAATAATATAGAAGTAACAATGTGTGACTTGTTCTATTGTAGTTATTTTCGCACTTACCGTTAATTCCGTAAGTGTATTTATATCGGCCAAATATCCAGATGGCAACTGGACGGTAAGGAGAGTAAGTCCACTTTCTGTGTCATTGCCTTGAGCTACAAACCTAAAATGCAAAATGCATGTATTAGTTTCGTTTATATTATGACATGCATTAGAGAGCTAAGGATATAGGATAAAAATAATAATGTAAAATATAGGAAGATTAAATGCCAAACAGTCAGTCCTTCTGTATATTTGTTATCTTTTTACTACTGAATGGCTAATCAAATCTTACTAAAAATTTACATGAATTTAGATGGTATTACATAGACGAGCATAAGATAAGGTTACCTTTTATCTCAAAAGAAGCTGTAATATGGGTGTATACTTTTTGCAGAAATCACGCGTAATACCTAACATCATAAACCATCAACAACTACAGGTACCCTACAGTTGGCATTATATAGCTACTTACAGATCATCTCAACATTGTAAAAGAATTACCTGCCGAAAAATGTTACACGTATAAGAAAATGTATGAAAATGTAAATAAACAGCTACTGAATCTAATAAAATAAATTTCAAACCATTACAAACTTCACGCTCGCATGTTCCAGAAGTGGTTTATGAAATGATTATCTACAAATATAAACTACAGAGTACTTAGAAGTTAGTACCCGACACAGATGGAGAGCTGGAGCCGGTAGCTGGTGGAGACCTGATCGACCCGCGGGTCGAGGGTATACCGGGGCCACGCGGCTGTCACATTCGTGTAGCCCTTAACTGATAGACCCAGCACAGCGATGCCGCTGCCTTCTGATACGGCGCTCACGTTACGAACGTTGCGAATCTGTAAGAGTAGTCGTAATAAGTTTTTGTTGTAATAAGATTAAGTGTTCGTAATGGGGCCATTGCTAAATTTCACGCGATTTCATCTGGAAACCATCGTGGTTAATGAATGCTACTCGATTTTATCTTCCACTGTTGCTCCGTCAGTTTATACCGTTAGCACAAATCACCATTTTTTCAAAATTCATACAGGTAGTCCCAACATAGGCAAAACTTGTGTTATGAGTACTAGACAACTAATGTTACTACTTTAATACATAAATAATGTATTCAGTAAACACTCCAACAATTACAAACGATCATAATCATGAATGCAAATGTTTTCATTGTGCGTGAGTTCTAACCTGCTACAATTGGCAATAAGTCTGTATGGTGGACCGCTAAACTACCGTCAAATACAATTCTTACCTACAAATTTTTGTTATTTATTTTTTCATCGTAATACTGGAACTGGTCTCTAAACTTTTATAAATTTTACACATCTGGTATTTTCTAGAAGTGTTTATTGGAATACGTTATTCCTTACATATTTTGGTATGTAATACTAATTTCTGTATAATTATGATTTTCCTATTTATTTTTATACTTCACCACAGTTTAATCCTACATCAATTGATTTTTGGTTACCAATATTTAATGAGATCTTAAGATATCGTCCCAAACTTTATCTTCATTGCATCTTCATTACTGAGAGTTGTGATATACATACATATATAATATTTGTGAGAAAGATTCAATTTATTTATAAGTTTCATTGTTTTTTGTATGTTGTGTAAATAATAAACGTGGTTACTTACTTGTTGATTTTGCATTACAAAAGCATTGCTTGGTGTAATTTGGAACTGTCTGGGTTCTTCAGAATCGCTCACGTTCACTGACATTCTTAAGTTACTTGATATTCGAATGGATTCAGAAAACTGAGCTAATGCATCGACCTGTGAAGTATGCAAAAAGATAAAATTAGATTAATATACAGATTATTTACAATCATACTAGTGGCGTGATTCGACCTCGCTCAGATATATACATAGGTACATATAATATTGGGATGTAGTGTAGTTACATATACATGTTTTGTAAAAATATGTCTTAATAATATATTGAAATCCGTGTCGTATCGTATTGCGCTTAGAAAAATCGTGGAAATCCTTAATGTGTTATTAAGTGTATGAGTAAAAGTCAAATTGTGACGATGGTCGTGTTGAATATTGAGTTAAGGGACTATTAGTACGAGTACCTACAAGCGGGTGAGTCCTCAGGCTCCTTGTAGAAAATGGGCATCTGTAGGACCATTACCACCTCAGACGAATAATTTGACTACCAACCAATATTCCCTGAATGTTGGAACCTGGAATATTCGTGGGACCTCCAGACCAGGCAAGATAGAACAGTTAGAGAGAGCAATGGAAGAGTATAATTTAGATGTGCTAGGACTAAGTGAAACTCACATCAAAGAATGTGGCCATCATAGAACACCTAATGGACTAATGATGGTGAATGCGGGCAGTTCTAACAACAGTTTTAGTGGAGTTGGGTTTTTGATCTCCAAAAAAACGCAAAATTCAATTATTGGATACAATACCATAAGCGATCGGATTATTTCCATAAAAATATCAGCCCGCCCATTACCTGTACACATTATTCAAGTGTATGCCCCTACATCAAGCTCTTCAGAAGAAGATATAGCAAATTTCTATGGCGAACTAGAAAAAGTATATCAAGATATACCGAACAAGGAGATCACTTTGGTACTAGGAGACTTTAATGCAAAGGTTGGCAACACAGCGGGAGATACTGACCTGCGTGGGTTCGTTGGTAAATTTGGGCTAGGCAGTCGCAATGAACGCGGACAAATGTTGCTGGATTTTTGTATTGAAAATAGTCTGACCATCATGAACACCTGGTTCCAGCAGCACCCTCGACGTCTGTATACTTGGCAGTCCCCTACTGGTTACCGCAATCAAATCGATTATGTTCTGATCGGCAAAAGGTGGCGATCTTCTGTGTTTAATACCAAAACTCGTCCTGGTGCAGACTGTGGTAGTGACCATCAATTACTTGTAGCTGCTTTGAGAATACGACTAAAGACAGTGAAAAAGAGAAAAGCCATAACTAGCAATATACTTGCAAAAAATGCAGAACGACCTTTGCGTGACATATTGGAGACACGTCTTAGTCAATTAGAGATAGATCCATTTGAATCAGCAGATACAACATGGCAGAAACTGAAACATGTAGTCCTTAAAGTAGTCAAAACGTTATCCGATAACACAAAACTTGAACAACCAAAAGCGGACTGGATGACTGAAGTAACATGGAATGCTATTACAGAAAGGAACAATGCAAAGAAAAGGGGCCTTAACACTCATATAGACTGCCGGAATTACTCACAGCTTCATGCTCGTGTGCAAAGACTTTGCAGGAAGGACACGAATAATTATATCAATTCTCTTTGCAGTGATATTGAGAAACATGCGTACACCACCCACACTAAAGACATGTACAACAAGGTCAAAATCCTAACTAAAAATTTCAAACCCAAAACCTGGGCTATAGAAGACACTCAGAGAAAAATCGTCACAGACAAGGACCTTGTGCTTCAAAGGTGGAGAGAGTACTGCCAACAACTGTATTCAGCAGCTACTGAAGATGACATTGTAGAGGAGAGATTTAATTACTTTGAGAGAGAACCCGATATTCTCCTCCAGGAAGTAGAAGTGGCAGTAAACAAGCTGAAACACAAAGCTAGTGGTGGTGACGGCATCACGGCACAAGCCCTGAAATGTCTTGGGATTGAAGGCACAAAAATATTGCACACCATTTGTCAAAAAGTCTGGCGAACGGGTCAGTGGCCTGAAAATTGGACGGATTCTGTGATCATACCCTTACACAAGAAAGGCTCAACTCTTAAATGTGAGAACTACAGGACCATCTCCCTCATTTCACATGCAGGAAAAGTTCTTCTTCATATATTGAACACCAGACTCGAAAGTTATATAGGAAAACAGATAGCAAAGGAACAGGCGGGTTTTGTGCGAGGTAAAGGAACTAGAGAACAAATCCTAAATCTCAGACAACTGATACAAAAGAGCAGGGAATTCAACGTACCGATAGTAATATGTTTCGTTGACTACGCACGGGCTTTCGACTGCATAAACTGGCAGAAAATGTTTGAAGTTCTGAGGGAAATGGGAATACCCACACATCTGTCCTTTCTTGTGCAGAATTTATATCTGGACGGCACGTCCCGAGTTCGTTTGGATCATATGGAATCAATGCCCTTCAAAACAGAGCGTGGCGTGAGACAAGGATGTAAACTCTCACCACAACTTTTCAACCTGGTGGGAGAACATATTATGCGCCAAGTCTTGGAAAACTGGCAAGGCGGTATCCGTGTGGGTGGGCATTTGATTAACAACTTGCGTTTTGCCGACGACACTACTCTAATAGGACTAAACGAGAGGGAGGTCGCCGATCTGCTTCGTAGAGTCGAACATGTAAGTGTGCAATACGGACTTCGTATAAATCTAAGTAAGACCAAGCTGATGTTTGTGGACCGAGGCGGACAAATGCAGAGATCCCTAGAGCTACGTGACCTAGATACAGTACAGGAGTTTGTATACTTGGGGTCATTGATAACAAATGACGGAGACTGCATGAAGGAAATAACACGAAGATCGCAGATGGCTAAAGCAGCGGTAAAACAACTAGAGAAGATATGGAAAAACAGAAACATATTTCGAAACACCAAGATTAGGCTAATGCGGACTCTAATCTTCTCCATATTTTTGTATGCTTCTGAGACATGGACCTGGAAATCACACGTAAAATTCAAAATAGATGCTTTCGAGATGTGGTGTTGGCGCAAAATGTTAGGAATATCATGGACGGAGCGTCGCACTAATGCATTTGTTTTGGAACAACTGGATATCAGAACCCGTCTCTCTACTGTGTGCTTCCAGCGTCTGCTAACTTTTTTCGGCCACGTAGCCCGCCGAAAACCAGATAATTTTGAAAAAAATATAATGTTGGGCCACGTGGACGGTAGAAGGGGCAGAGGTAGGGCACCTGCACGTTGGACTGATCCTGTACGAGAAGCAGTCAAACAAAATATACAGTCGGCGGTCCATTTAGCACAGGATAGAAATGCCTGGAGAGTATTGGTTGGAAGGAGCATTCCTGGTGGTCATGACCCTCAGTCTTGAGGAACCGACAAAGAAGAAGTACGAGTACCTAACTAGCTAACCGTGCACTTTCGTCTGCGTCACATTGCAATTAGTCGTATAGTCATGAAGCCTTAGGTACTCGTTGAATGGGCTAATCAACACTGAAGATTTTTTCTTAGTTCTCGAGATTTGAGTGTTCGACCAAATAAATACTTACTTAATAATACTCTCTAGCTTTATAATATTAGTATACATAAGAATGTGTGGTACATAATTGCTAGAGAGACGAACTACTAAGCATTTCAGGGCTTCTTCACACAGGTGCCGGGTCCATCGCGTGGCAGAGAGGTAAACTCCGAGCTGTTCCTGAACACTGACTTTAATTTAATCGTTTGGGTTTCTTTCCATACCTAGCCAAACCGTATACCGACCATACACCGACTCACTCAGAGCATGACCTAGTTTGGTTTACAGACGGGTCCAAAATAGGAGATGATGTAGGATGTGGAATATGCGGTGTAAAACCCAAAATCTGCAACTATATAGGCTTAGGAAAATACGCCTCATTCTTTCAGGCGGAGACTTACGCCTTAATTAGATGTCTGGAAATAATACGCCTTAACTACATCAATCAGAACATATACATTTATTCGGACAGTCAAGCTAAACTTATTAGAAACTGTATCCTGCTACTAAATAAAGTAGGAAGCAGAAATAATATTATACTGAGATGGGTCCCCGGGCATTCAAATATTGAAAGCAATGAGAATGCCGACCATCTGGCAAAGTTAGGGGCGAAAACCGTCCAACTGGGCCCCGAACCCTTCTGTGGTGTGCATCGTTGCCTAAAACTGGGACATCTCAAATTAATAACCAAACGAGAAGCACTGAATCACTGGCAAGAAATGCCAGGATTAACACATTCAAAAGACATATCGGGATTCTCGAACAAATATTCCAATAGACTACTGCTATTGAGTAAAAACAACATATGCATGATGACTAGGGCCCTCACAGGACACTGCAAATTACACAAGCATATGGCTAAACTAGGCCTATGCACGACAAGTATCTGCAGATTCTACCAAACTGAAGAGGAAATACCGCTTCACATCCTATGTGGTTGTAGCCCACTCATGCATAAACGAAATATCTCCTTTGGAAAGTTTACACTCTTTCCCGAGGAGATAAAAACCATCGCTCCTAAGAATATCTTTCAATTCTTGTCCCTAACGGGTCTAGGTAGCGAACTTTGAAAAGGGCGAGCACAATAGATCTATGTAGGTCGCAGTGCTACAGGTGCTACACATCTGACAATAGCCCAAACAACCCAATAAAAAAAAAATAGCCAAAACGTGCGGATGTCGGGTCCACTTTGTTACTAACGATGTTCGTATGGCGCTTCCATCCGCACATCATGATGACATAACTTATACAAGACAAGCATTCAAAGTTTTTTTTTAAATTTATATAAATTATTTTTTGCTTTAAAGTTTTAAATTTACACAGAAGTATTATATATAATTTTAAAAGTATTTAGATAACGATTAAGATGGCACGGTTAATTTAATCTACTTGCTTCTAATTTAAAAAATTTTTTTTTTTAATCGACGATGTATAGAGGACACTGGAAGACTTACGACGTCGGGGTCAGGGTGGCGCGCGGCGGCGGCCCGCAGCAGGTAGGTGGCGAGCGGGCGCGCGGCGGCGGCGGCGGCGGCGGCGGCGGCGGCGGGCGGCGCGGCCAGCAGCGCGCGCAGCCCCCACGCGGCCGTGCGTCCGTCCACGCTGTTGTCGCGCAGCCACGGGTTGCGCCACTCCGCGCCCCGCACGGGCCGCGACCAGTACGCACCCGAACCTGTTCAATAACGACGCTTACGTCTCGTGCCAGTCAGGTGGCAGGAAAGAAAACGTAGCGACATCTACATCTCGTAGAAGTTAGCAAACGGAATGAAGACTTATGCTATCGCTTTATGGAGAAACGGCGAACGGAACGAACATTTATTCCTGACTATATGAAGAGAAGACGATTTTCGTACATTTTTATTGAGTTTAATGTAATTTTGCGAAAATCCAATTCATGAATTAATTATTTAATACAGTTTAGTTTCATTTAGTATATATGTATTATTAGAAAAGTCACGACCTTATGAGCTGACATCGAAAAGTCAATACTAAGCGTCCAAGCTATATCCAAGCTCTATTGATTGCTTAATGAGAATCTCATTTAAAAGCGAAATACGTCCGGCAATATGGGTGTAGACTTAACTGCAATCAGAAATGAGATCACTAACAGCAAATGTGTGACTTATTATTGTGTTAAGACGAGCCAAAAAAACTTTATTGTATTGTATTACAAGTACTTAATTGTTATCACTTCACATATAAAGGATTAAACAGCTAATAGATTTCTACTGAAACACCTGAAGTTATTGCAGTACGAGAACGAATACATGCATATCTTTTATAACAAAGATGCAGATGTAGTCAGCTTGCAAAAACTAGTAACTGGATTAAAAGACAATCTAAAAGCTCGCGACGGATATATGATAAATCATATAGATCGTGATCATCGTAATAATAGTGAGGTATTAGAAGGTACCGGTGGTGTTCCCGTAGCGGTCGAGCATCTGCAGCGCGGTGGCCGCGTGCGGGCTGCGGGCGGCGGCGAGCGCGGCCGCGGCCACCGCCAACGAGTACGCGTCCAGCTGCGGCGACAACCCACGCGCGATGTACTCCACACCGCTCTCGATGTTGTCTTTGTACAGCACGTCGCTACCCTGACAATTGATCGAGACTTGAACTGCCTTTACACGTACGATCTTTGACCCGGGAATCCGCTTTTACACTGGAATTTTTTGTCATAAAGCGCGAAAGAGTGATCACAAAAAATTATAAAATGCAATTAGTCACTATCAAAATTAGTGCATGTACGGTCACCAAACTTACCGCGTATGCTCTTCTTACCATTATTAGACATTTATTCGTATATGAATTCGTTCATATATGTAATATTTTACTCTATAACCATTTTGACTTGACGAACATGTAAATGGCCCATCGAGCCGGATTGATATGCGACCTATGGAAATAGTAAGAAGCATGGCATGGCGTGTTTACCTTGGTCTGTAGTAGCGCGAGCAGGACGTGCGCGGTGAGCGGCACCGGCCGCTGTGCCAGCGGTGCGAGCACGTGCGTGGGGCGCGCGTTCTGCCAGCCGCCGTCGCCGCGCTGTCGTCCCGCCAGCCAGCGCGCCGCGCGCACGCCCGCGTCCGGCGCCGCCTGCACGTGTCGTGCGCACCGCGCCAACCACCGCGCGGAAACCGCTGTCGTCCTAAACATCCATCACACATTGGCTGCCTCTACACATGCTCTTTCACGTGTGAATAGGCTTTCAAGAAATAATGTACATGTAAATGTTGACTAAAAGAATGAGAAACCAATGCCGTATTCCCGCGTTCTTCAATCGTGCGTTCTTTAGCGCCTTTTTTTAATAATTAATTAATATGGCAAAATGGAGTCCATCTGACTATGGAGTTATTGATACTATAAAAATCTTAAACGTGTCTTTAGGAAACCCATAAAATAAAAAATATAATTTTAAAAGAAAATAAAAGCGCGCGAAAGAGCGAACACAAAAAAGTATGCAGCAATAAAGACACGAATAGTAGTTGTTTAATAATTTACTCACAGGACCCTATGTATGGTTTGAAAACTTACATTATACTTAAACAACTTTTATGTACGCTCTGCCAAATAATAAGCGGTTACCAAAATGTACGCTTGCGACATCAGTTGCATAACCAATTTCTTTGTGTAATGGCGACCTTGTGTTATATAAGATACACACTAACGTTATTACCTCTGTTTATTGAACACAATATGCAATTGTAATCAAGCAGTTGGAAAGCACATTTTAGTTATTATTTTTAGTAAAAGAGCATTCACTTTATGCAATATGTGCAAGCCTACTGTAGAAATTAATTCCGATTCAATTGCACTGTTGCGTACCTTTTCACGAGCATAAACTCATATATTAAATACAAGCATCGTATTAATTTCATATTTCGTGGTCAACGAAGGAACTAATTGATATTGTACTGTATGAAGTTTAAATAAACAGTATAAAATTTGGTTAAAATTGATCACGCTCCACTGTTAAAAGCAATAAATAACTTACATAATTAAGGCCCTAACAAATCTGATTTCTAAAAGTGACTTACCATACATCTCCTTCGACTTCACTGTTCGCCTCTGGTGCGAATGAACCATCTGGGCGGCGATACGCCATCAACCGTTGGAAACCGGTTGATATTAGGGAGTGGATCTTTGTAGGCACCGGCTGATCTTTAATCTACACAATATAATGATTTTTATTAGCACATATTTATTTATTACTTTATACATAATAAGGTAATATTGCAGGCTAAAAGAAAAATCATTGTGTCAAAATTATTTCAGAATTCAAACGTTTTTAACAGTTTTTTAATATGGAATAAAGAATGATGTAAATACATAAGCGATAAATAAGTAGTGCCGTGTTTTGTGGGTTCAGTTTCATTATTTTTATATATGAATATATATATATTATGGTGACATCAGACATCCTCTAAGATGTTTCCGAAAAAAAAATAAGCAATAATATTCACTGTTGTACCAGAAGGAGTAGGCATTGTCAAATATCGCTGTCTCTATGATTAGTTTGGTTTGTTATCGGTGTTTCTATAGATCACTAGAATCTGTCAGAAACATTAATGCCTGAAGAAATTACTATAAAAATATTTTCGATGTCTACTAAATTTGCCCTTTGAAGAAAGTTAGAAAGCCATAGGCCACGAAGCTAAACGAGCTTCGTAGTCAATACGAAATATAATAATTAGCGGAGCAAATATAATCATAAAAAATATATAAATAATATTTGTACTGCTGCATACATAGAGGCAATAATGAACAACAGCCAAACAACAAAGTACAATAGTTTGTTTATGTGTGCGCAATAGAGTCCTTCTTCTACCTTCAAGTAGTCGATGAGTACGCAGGCGAGCGCGAGCGGTCGGAGCGCGTGCGGCGCGTCCGCGGCGGGCGCGGGCGGGCGGGCGAGCGCGGCCGACAGCGGCACCGCCAGCGGCTCGCCCGCCGCCCACACGTGACAGCCGCCGCCCGCGCCGCGCGTACCCGCCGCCGACCACAGCCCCACCCGCGCGCCAGCCCCGCCCGCCTCCACCATGCCCCACGACCACGCGTCCTCCTCGTACCCGTCCTGCGGTCACATTGCCACCTCGTCACTAGTCCTACACCCTACCAATATGGTTGCCAATTTTTCTATTGACTCGACCAAGAAATATAAAATTAAGTTTCCAAACATCGTCACATTTTGACGTGTAGTATATAGTGGATTGGACTGATGATGATGATGACGATGATATATTGTTAACACCAAATTAATACAGCGTCAGCATTAGGGAAATATTTATCTATTTCTACAACATATAGTATATAAATCTGTCTTTAGATAGAAAAATAATTTATATTTAGAGATAACATTTGAGTCTGTATTCAAAGATACCATAACGTCGATGGTTCGAGAAACAGAATGGGAGTATCCATTCCCGGTGGCTTCGACCATTACGGGAGCGCCGCCATCGCGGATGATCGTTACAAGGAACGCCGTGCTGGCCGTTCCCTGTGCTGGAACCTTCACGCTGTTTCGCTGAAATAGCTCGATTTCTGAAAATAAGCATTGTCAGATTGTATCAAACTTTTTTCTAACCTTTATTTATGTAAACCGTAAACGTCGCCTATATTTGTGAACTGGGAACCACTGGTGTCACGTTGTAATTAATTTTAATTTATTTATAATTTAATTAATATAGATGATGATGCGTTAACATCTAAAAGGACTAAGGTATAAGGTGCATCCGTACTCCATTTTCTTCCCTTTAAGCTTAGCGGCTAAAATTGGTGAGACTGAAGTACCCACAAAAATGACTTCATATAAATCTTCCTCGGTACTTTGTGAATAACTTGCAACATTAAGTTAAGATAAGTTATGTAACGTTACCTAGAATCCTAAACCTCTATTTATTTCTTAATAAATATTAGAATAATTTTTATTCAAATATATTGTATTGTAACCTTTATTTACAATCGTTCTTTATGATTATACCAACTCCGTATGCTCTTTTGAAACAAACATTACATTATTGTGATATTTTATTAAAAAACTACATTAGGAATAAGAATGTGAGTACAAAGAGTCAGAAACTCAAGACAATTTAATAATCATTCCATAATCTTTTTTGATCCCTATTCAAATGTTGAGAATAGGTTCCGGTAAATTATTTTTACTATGGTGAAGACATTTATACTTACTTTTAGACGAGCCGACATCATTGTCCAATGGTTCGAACTCAAAGTATTGTTCAGAATTATGGAACGTGACTTCAGCGGTAATGTCGACTGTAAGGGTACTCTTCAGCATTACGATTGCAGCCAATGTCTCCCCTTTTTGCATGGTGGTTGGTAGTTCCAATGTTACGGAGAGCGGTAAAGTAACCGATAAAGTGGTGGGTTCAGCTAGACCGAGACCCAAATTCGGATCTATAGCGAAGCCTCCTACTATGAGTTCTGAGGGTAAGCCTGGGGATCGAATTTCACTTGAGTCCTTGCCGTCGGAACTAAAAAACAAAATAATACCGGTTAGTAGAACAGTGTCAGTAACATTGAAGTGATAATAATAATATGCATAGATAGTTTTTAGTGGACGTATTTAATCAAGTAAATAATAATTTATAATTTATTAGGTACAAGTCTGTTTGCTGTTAATAGCTTTAGCTTTTAACATCTAGCATGCCCACATTTTGCTGAGTATATTTTGAATCCAATTTGTTAAGGAGGCGAGCTTACCGCCGTCTCTAGGATAAAAATGACATCTCAAGTTTAATTTAATGTAAGCCAGATTTGTACTAACGACGACCTCTTGGGTGTACCTAATTGTCTTCTCTCTCCGCTTAAGATAAATAATAGTAGAATTCTAAAGCATATGACATACCCAACGGTGAAGTTATTGAAGACTCGTGTGGTGTGCGAGACCGGCGGTAGTACCTCCGTGAGGTAGAGGCGCGGCGCGGGCGGCGGCGGCAGCCGGCTGAACGCGTACGGGCCCGCCAGCGGCGCGCGGGTGCCGCTCTCCACTTCACTAGACTCGTCTGCCGTACGACAATTTAATATTAAGTGGAGACAAAATATGGCGGAACCGCGGGATGCAATCTTCGCCGTGGATTTCAGGAGGTCTACTGGATGGGGGGCTCGTTGTGTGGGGAAGTTTTGGTGTTAGGGTATACTATTAATTACTTAAGTTTGTGGATGTATTGGTAAGAGATTTCCATGTATTATAGTTAAAATTGGTAGATTGTATTAGTATAGTTTCAAAATATGAGATATGGCCTTCATAGGCAAATATAATTTTAAATACGTAGGACAAAAAATCACTTACCCCGTTTATTACTCTGAATTATCACTCCATCAGTTAAGATTATGACACCAGCATTCTGTAACGAATATATATTTTAGTCGAGAATATCGTAAGAAGCTACTATGAAAAAAATACATCATAATTTTACATAAAATTAACAATATCTAAGTGTTTATGGAAGTCTAATAAAACAGAGACGGTGATTTGTACGTATATGATCTTTATAATAACATGCTAAATTTGTCATCCAAGTTGACATGTAAAATAATAACACTTACCTGGAATACGTCCATGGGACTGCTGCCTCCTATGTCAACCCCAGCGCTAGGCAGATAGTCCTCGTTCTTAAAGAACGAATGCTTCAAACCTATGAAGCTCTCTACTTCCCGTTCGATCTAAAAATTTACAATAAAAGAATAAAAATAAATAAATAGTTAGTCGTGAGTTCTTATTCTTTTTTCTGTTCGATATTGTGGAAAGTAATAGGAATTATAATTTAATTTATTAAGTAGAAGAATATTTATTCTATGTTTTCCGTAAATTGAAATATCGTTACTGCCATAAATATTACGTTTATATGAATTAACGAATTCTCTACAAATAAAAACCCCAGTCACGAATTATTTTCAATACTCTCTTGGTAGGTACGTGTGAGATATTTGATTTTTCCTCATTCGAATTTAGAATACCAAACTTTTTATTCGTCGAGTATTGGCGCGAAACGTTACGTTATTCATATTATTGTACATTTACATCTTTATGAATGAAAAATAATAAGCAATAGTTGATATTGAACCAATATAAATAAATTTTCCATTTTCACGTGTAATGATAATGTTTGTATTGGTCTTGGTATTTTCTATGTAGGTATATTGTGTATTTATTTCCAAAACATGTGTTTGTATTAGTTGGCCAGAGCACAAAACACAAGCTCTGGTTATAGCTTGGAACTAGATGGTGTTGTGTGAATTGTACTGATGAAATTATTTATAACTACTTACCTGCCCGGCATAGCACGGGTATACATGTATTATACATATAAACGTTCCACTTGAACCACTCTATTTACTGCTAATAACTGCATTAAAATCTGTGGCGTACTTTAAAACATCGGAAGCGACTAGATTTTATATTATGTACCTATATAGAGATATCTTTTTATTCGTACTATATTGTTTTATTCATACTTTCATCTATGTTCAGTAGAAAGGAAATAGTTGCATTTTAGGCAAGCGTGGTATAAAATATTAACCGTGTTGATGTCGAGTCCGCTGCCAAGTCCTCTCGGCGATGCGAGGTGAGCGCGCGCGGCGGCGGCCGGCTGCACCAACAACGCGGCCATGCTGCCCGCTTCCGCCTCCACCTGCACTTCCACCACGCTGCTAGGCCGCACGCTGTTCACCGTCGGTCTCACTGACACCTGCATATAAATAATTTTCGTTTTTTTATCTAATGCGACTACAGTAATTTACTTTAGCAAATGTGAATCGGCTTTTACACAGGGAATATAGTGTAAAGAGAACGAGAAAGACCGCACGCGCTGCCAGCTCATGTATTCCCGCGTTCCTCAATCGTCATCGCTTTAACGCCTTTTTGTAATAAATTATTGTAATGATATTACAAAACGCCTGACACCGACTATAGAGTAAAGACATGAGTATTAGGTTATTGATAGTTCAATTACATAGAAATAATTTTTTTGGAATAAAAAATAGAATTTAAAAAGTAGCGAATGCCGTGATTCATTCCCGCAAGGCGCGCAAAGAGTGACCACAAAGAATAGAAAAATGCAATATGTAATGATATTATTATTATGTTTATGTACATGTAAATAGTGAAGTACCTACCTTATGTTGTAATAAGTTCCGCTGCGGCGCGTAAACGGCGGTGGCCACTATGGGATACCTGGCGGCATCGAGCCGCGGGTACCAGGCCAGCAGTATGCAGCCCGGTGACATCTTCGCCGTCACCCACACCGACACGTCCACGCTGCGACGGACCGGGTTCAACTGGAAATAGAGTTGAAAAATTACATAGGGTTTTTGTTATAGATTAGGAGACAATTAATAGCACCCACAACATCAGAGCAATTGCAAGTGCGTTGCCCGCCTTTTAAGAAGAAATAAGGCCTTTTCTTGAAAGATTCTGAAGAAATGTCGCTATCATGTTTATTTCCACAATATATAAGTATCCAAATTATTGCATAACTTATACACTCTATGATACAATTTACAAATACCCGTCTCCCAGTGGAATAAATTAAGCAGGTTGGAAACGTTATGTAGTGTGAATTTCAGTTACTAATATATAAATTAGTATTTTTGAGTATTCAAGGTACTAAGTCAAAACAAGTGACATAACTATTCAAGTAACGATTAATAAGAAATCGGCTGTTATTTTAATCCATCAGGCAAGCAAAATAAGATAAAAAAGAATGAGCAAGTGACCTCAGTGTTATTTTTTAAGTGTATTTTATCCTAAGGACAATATCTGTAATATTTTTACTGATTTTCTTAGAAATAAATCTACGATATTCTTACATATAGGTATTATCTTTTTTAAACAATCTACATGAATAGTCCAGTTAACAATAGTCCTGCTGAGTATTGTTGTTATCTTAAAAATGTTGACGATAAAAACAAATTGCAAGCAGATTATTGCTAGAAAATGTTTTTTATTTTTTATCTTTGATAGGTACATATACAATGACTAAATCAGAAGCAAAGAGTCGAAATGTTATTGCTTACCTCCAAAGTCTTGGCAATGAGGATATCGCCACGTCCAATAACGACGTAATGTACCAAGTCCATTGGTTCCGAAGCAGTTATCCGAGCACGCATCTCGTCTCCGACTGCTGTCCCCCGTGTGAGGAGTTCCACCGTTAGGTACTGGTTTGCGGACGCCTGACTACTTTGCACGTTTACTACCCGCTCTGTTATTTCTTTGTAACGAACCTGCAAGACAATGTTATATTACCAAGCGTCAGCTTTATTTCCCTTGATTATACCATGAATGCTGAACTTACAGGGCACATAAATATGACATGTTAGTACTTCATCGTGGATAACAAGCATCAAATAATGACGTGATCTCATTGCTATTGTAGTTGCTAATGTATAGCTAACGATTGCCACTTACACACAGTTGCATGATCACTTTGTTTAAATTACAGTTCCATAAAAAAAACAAGATTTGAGGATATATGTAGTAATTCTTGTTAGAAATAGTAATTATGTTATAAGTATAATTAGTAAATCACGGGATCTTACCACGTTTTTCGGTAGGTTATCCGTGATCATGGCGGTTGAACACTGCCGAAATATCGGGAACTCAATAAAAATAAAACGTGGTATGATCCCGTTATTTACCAGCTGTACTATTAAATGGTACATTCAAATTGGCAAACATGTCGATTTTAATCTGTTACAATTTAAAAAAGTTACCAATCATATTACATAATAAATGAGCTGATCTACTTAATCAATGGCTTATATGTACTTTCATGAGTTTTTATATTGCAAATTTTATTCACAATTAATTTGCTTTTGTATGTTAGTGTTATAATAATTTTTACAATTAATTCTGCAATTACATTTATAATACCTGTAAATTTAGCGTTGAGTTGGTATACGCCGGTTCTGGTACTAGAGTGTATGTGGCGAGGCCATTTTTCAAAGAGACAGTGGTTGTGTTGGATGGAGCGCCATCGTCCCAAAGACGCTCCACTGTAACTTCGCCACCAGTGTTCATTACTTCACCTGATGAATCTGTCACCTCAATCTAAGGAAACCATGAACATTATATTATACTTTTTTTAATGTTTATTTTATTATTCTGGGCATCAATTTTTAATAGGTATGTGATTATATTTGTGTCTATATACAATAAAAAAATATTGGTTATAAATAAGTACTGTGCTAGTATACTCGGAAAACAAAATTATACAGTTAAAAATATGTATTGATATTCAAAACTGTGTAATATTCTCAACTTGAGCTATGTTAATTGTGGCACATACACTAGAATTGTTTGAAATTCACAGGAAAGTACAACATAGAGCGATGTGAGTTCAATAAACTATTAGCAGTTACAACAAAAAATAAACTGCATGCCCGATTGGTGTTTGGTAGAGTTTGTAGGTAAAGCCGCAAATAAATTACATTTCAATCAGAGGTGACTGTTTGTAGTTTCAAATACATATTATTACTACGTGTACTATGTATTATTACGTGCAATATTTTGTAAAGCAGATTAATAATTGTATTGACGGAAAGTTACTTTATGAGGTGACCGACTATGTAACCTATTTTATTCACTTTATGTCACACATCTGTTTATAATCCGTACATAGGTAATCGTAATCTGTTAGTTAATAATAATAATAAGTAGTAATATTTCTATAATACCTATTGCCAAAATTGGCAATATTATAGAATGGTTATATTTTTTTATTTTATTCTTACGCATAGATAAAGAAAGTTAATTTAATAATGGAAAACATATTATTTGACAAAATTATTGAAAATGCTGAAATCACAAGACCTAACTTGTAAAACCTAACATAGCTTACTACTTGTGTAATTGTCAAAATTTATAGTAATAATTTCAAATACATTCACCTTGTCTATAAATATACATTAACATCATTAGTAGTTGATTAATTTCTAAAACATAAAATACGAGTTCTGAGATACTACTAACTTGAACATTGTAAGGTAGACTAGGCTTGAAGTACTCAGGCGCCGTCACCTTCAACCTGTACGGTGTCCTCAACAAAAGTATTCTCGATGACACGTTTTGTCTGATGAGTGTATCCTTTTCCTCAATAACGGCTTCGATAACCAAAGGCCTCGCTTCGTCTTCCGCGAGATCTAGGTCAGTTTTGAGGTCATATGTTACTTGTGTGTTGCCATTGATTTCGACAACTTTTCGAGACGGCGATGAAAACACTGGTTGTAATAGTCCCGAGAAGAAGACAATGTATGCAGAAATAGTTAATTCCCCACGCACTGGTAAACCATTGAAATGCCTGAAACAAAATTACTAATGATATACGTAATATTCCGTCTATTTGCATTCAAGTTACCAATTTGTAGGCTGATATAAAACGATATTAAAATTACTAGAGGTGTACTTCCATGAGTATTCCCGCATTCAAGGTTATATAAAAAAAGTTAAACTTTAGTTTAGGCACTATACAACTGCAATAGGGAGCGTTGCTATTCACAATTATGTGACTTTCTAACGAGACCAATACACTTCGGATTACCGACATAAAAACTTTTACTTCTCCCCACAAGTAATAGTAGAAAGTATTGTTCAGTAAGTAATATTGACGCAGTAATATCTGTTATTGTTTTCTGTGTTGAACGTTTCAAGGAGAGAAGATGCTATATTTAATAATATCGATTACATAAAACATTATTTATTGCGTTGAATCTGTGTATATACAATGTCAATAGATGATTATTGCTGCAAAAAAAACAGAGGATTTAGGCATTCAGGTGAAACGAAGTGTTTATTATGTCTCATAGGCGAATGAATAATTTGTTTACAGATATAGACAAGATTGTGCTAGAGCTAATGAACCAAGTAAATATATTTGAGCAAATAGTTTTTGAAGGTCTTTCAAAACATGAAGTTAATATGTATATACTTTTATATAAGTCAAAGATTTATTAGTTATTATTATTATTTAGATTTATCGTATTACGTATCGATAAAAACATGAAAAATGATATCGTCTAAAGTTCAAACAAATGCTACATACTAATTACACATAAATACACATTTAATTTAAGAATTTGAATATATTTATGTTGTAGCTTTATACATTTAAAGCAGTAAAAGTGTAGTATGGATTGGACAAACTGAAAACTTTGTGATTCATAAAACAGAGCCGTATTGTGAATATTTTGTCTCTATATAATAATTTAAAAAATATAATTTTCTATATATAAATCAATGATTTTTTTTTAAGAATAGTGTATCTAGTATAGAATTTCGAGAAGGATGAGGAACTGGAACGTTGGCGTTGGTTTTGTACACGTATGTACCAGGGTGTACACGTATGTACAAGTACGACCGCGGTGGTCTAGCGGTTTAGCACAGCGCCTTACTTCCGATGTTCGCGGGTTCGATTCCTCGCACGGCACAAACATTTGTATTCATGAGTATGATTGTTTGTATCGGTCTGGGTGTTTTCTATGTATATTATGTATGTATTTATAAAAAAAATCTTTGTATTTGTATCAGTTATTTAGTGCCCATAATAAAGGTTTAGCTAGCTTAACTTGGGTCTAGATGGTGCTGATGGTGTGAATTGTCCTAAGATTATTATTAAAGTAATACATACTTAGCAGTGACATTGATGTTAAATCGTCCCTCGCTAAAAAGCAGCTCTTTTGGCATTTGTAGATCCATTTGGAACTTGGGCATCACGTAATCCGCCACTAGTATCTGTCGCGAATATGTCTGCCCACGTATTTCCACCTGTTATACAATACTACATTATGCAAACGCTTTATATCAAAACTGTTGGGGCCACGTCGAAGTGAACGAATTATATCATCCACATAATTAATTGCTTCCTACAGTACATAGCTATTATACATTATTCGTAATTTCAATCTTAATATTCAAAGATTTCGGTAAATATTAATTTCATACTTTAGTAATCGTTGTTAAAATTATCGTTATAAAAAATCTTTATTGTTAAATTTAGTTACATAATGTTGATATTTTCAAAAGAATTATGAAACAATAATATATGCGGTTAGAAAATTGAAATGAACCTGAATTGTCCATTCTCCTAGTGCCGGCTCATCGGCAAGATCCAACAAGTCCGTGAAGACGCCTCTATCCAACGGAACTGCGGCCCACTGCCTGACTGGTGAACCTCCAGCATCCAGCACACTGACGTCCACTGTACCGGTTAAAGGTAGCAAGTATCTGTATTAGAACAAATGTTTTATAGTTGACTTTAACGATATATTCTGTAAATGCCTACCTAATTAATTTAATTATATTATGCTATCATTGAGACATTAATTTTCCTCGGTATGTAATGCGGACCGTGAACTAAAACTTACTATTACCAGTGGCAATCCGTGAGGAAGTAGCCATTATTATTACTAAAAGTTGCATATAGATGGCGTGATTGGGATCGATGGAATTCTTCATAGTTTTGCAAACGTTTTAAAAAACAAAACTGTGTTTACAAAAATGTTTAATCAATTTTTAAAAAGTTATATATACATGTTAAAATGAAATAATGCGTTTAGAAAAGTAATTGTCATATATTTACTCATTTTGTTATTTTCCAGTACTTAATTAATTTAATCAGTGCTAATACGGGGCTCAATGTTTTCAAAATGCTTTCATAGATGGCATTGTTGTCATTTGTATCGGCCTAATTAAATGTCTTTTTTATATTTTCCAATAAAAAGCACTTAATATATCATTATTGTAAATTAAACATATAAAAAAATTTTAAGTAAATTAAAAATAGCCGAACAAGCAAGTAATACTATTTCCAATAATACTTATGTATGAAGTGTTGTCATATTAAAAATAAATACATGTATTATCGATTTTTTTGAATAATCGATAACAGGATTTTATTACAGCGCATTATTCGATGATGCTTTTAATGAGTCGTTGTGAACAGTAAATTTTCATTATTTTGTATTATAGCAGTGTTCCGTTTCAAAGAACGGAATATAGTAGTACATTATTAGTGTCGTTGGTTATTTACATTTGTACTAAAAATCGATTACATAATAATTTAAAATATCGAGTACGAATCGTAGTTGTCTTTGAATACTGGCAAGATTAAAATAGTATTTAAAAAAAGAGAGAAATCGACCCTAACTCGAATACCATAAAGTTGATTTTCCTTTCTCATTAATATCATAGCAGTTTGTTTTTAACTTGCGTATGACTCTGTGGTATGATGTTTAACGTGTATTGTTATTATACGGTGCATACATTTCAAAAATTATATTTTAATGTAGGTACATACATTTCTTTCATACATTTCATACATGTCAAAAATTATCTTTTAATGTAGGTACATACATTTCTTTCATACATCTCATACATTTCAAAAATTATTTTTTAATGTAGGTACATACATTTCATACATGTCAAAAATTATCTTTTAATGTAGGTACATACATTTCTTTCATACATCAAAGATATTATTATTGTAGATATCGAAAGTTATGTATACAAGTAATTCTGAATATTATCAAGTTCAAAATAAGCACACATTACTGGCTTAGATAATAGAGTAATATTACTTGTAATAAAAACATTTGTGACACCCATATGTATACCCATATATATTACATAGTAAGTACTTACGCCCGTGCCGTGAGACTCATCTAAGCGTACAGCGCATGCGCGTCGTGCGGTAACCGCACCGACGGACCAATAGGAGCGCGCCTCTCGCGCATCCAGAAAGTTCGCGACTAATGGACGGTATAGTAGTAAAGCAATGAGTGTTCCAGTGACATCATTATAATATTTTCTCGTTAAGTTTTATTGTAATATACATAATTTCGTACTAAGTAACGTGTTCCCCCGTTACACATTTCTAACGTGTAACGCGAGACAAACAGACAGAGTTACTTTAGCATTTATAATATTTGTAAGAATATCGCTATTAAAAATAGGGGTTGGTGAAAGACGGGCCAAAATTTAGGCGTGTATAATATAATAAATAAAAAATTGTCCATAATTAAAAAAAAAAAATTCAGGGTAGGCCACCCCTATGACTTAGGGGTATAAAAAATAGATAACAACCCTACCTCAGACCTAGCAAGTATACATATCAAATTTCATCAAAATGTGGGAGAAATATGGCAACTAACACTGTGATACGAAGTTTATATATAAGATATAGCGGAATTCTCATTAGGGAAAAGAGGGGTACATCGTAGAATACATGAAGTATATAACAGTAACATTATAACAGTAAATTCATTGTAGCTAAAACCAGTCTCTTACACATAACGATTGAAATAAAAAATCAGGGATACGATACGAGTATAAACGTATCAAAATCGGGCTATACGTATAGCGCAGACGCGTTACAACATATCTTCGTCGAGAGAAAAAAATAGGCATGGAATGTAGAATAAACTATAACATAATATATATATTGGCACATAAGCCATATATGCAGGGTATCGGCTGACGATATTATACCTACACATTTACATTGAATCTTGAATCGTCCCTAATGAGGTACACGATACAGTTACCTACATATCTTGTATATACCTATCTTTGCAAAACAGATGTCATGTAGACTGAATTGACTGCCATCTATTTTCGTGCTTTGTTACTAAGCACCCACTAGTAATCCGAACTGCTTCAGATCTAGAGACATCTAGCGGCTACGGCGGCGAAATAAAATAGCCCGAAGAATAGCCCGAGTTAGGAAGGAACCATTTTCTTGTATGGGATGGGGTATCTGTATGTAATATTATGTTATCTGTGCTATTACTTACCTAATAATGAGGATTTAGCATAATAACATTGCTTAAATGTACATCTACCACATGTTCAATTGAGACTTTAGAAGGACATATTATTACTATTATATTATTAATGTAGAGCAATAGTTTACATATTGCTCTAGTTGTTGCTTCAATTAATTTTCCTATTGCTGGGTATGTCTTAGTACTAATGGTACTAATAAGTTTCTTTTTTTTTGTTATGTGTTGTTCGCACACGTGACGAGACGCATATACTCAATGTGGTAAATCGATCTATAAGAATTACATGAATAAATGAACGGGTAATCCCAATAGGTTTGTAGATTCGATACCAGGAAGAAAGCTTTCCATTTGCTAATTTCCCCGTAAGCTAATGGTTTGTATGTTATATTAAGTAGTAAGTTGTTGACTTGTGTAACAGCACTATTTACTATGTTGCTCCATAACCTGCATTGTTACCATTGAGGTCACCGACCGCGTCGTAATCACACGTAATCTTACACGCATGAACTGTTCGTGGCCGGAGATGGCATCGAAATTGAAAGTGTCTCCGCTAGCTACGCTGTTATTGGCTCGTGAGGTGTTAATGAAATTACTACAGAAAAACCTGATACCAGTCATGTTAACTGTAGTCTGACGCGTAATATCACTTACGTACTTTTCTAATTTTAGTTACTGACTTCATTACCTATGTTCTGCGTAGCATAATCTAAGAATACCATTTTAATATTGAATGTATAAAAATGCAATATAACTTTTCACTTAGGTAGACTTTCTTAAAAGTCTAAATCTCACTTTATAGACGACAAACTGATAGCTTTGTAAGCTGTGTTTCGGTTGATGGGTTCAGAGAAATTACAGGGAGGTATCATTGGACATACAGTGGCTTCAGAGGAGACCGCGTGGAGGCGACCTTTGCTAGTTACGGAGCCACTAACTAGTCTTCAATACTAACATCGCCTCGCCGCAGTAATTGTATAATTGATAGTCAATGTAACTTGTCTCTACAACATAATATAAGTATTTACTAATGTACATTGGTGTGCATTACTAATTTATACTAGAGGATAGTAAATATACATGTATGTGTAAAAAATTGCAGCATATGTAATTATGATATGACTCACTTGTTCAAGGCGATAACGCGTAAGTTGATGGTATCTCCTGGGTTATACACCCGTTTGTCGGTCTGTATGAATATACAGAAACTGCGTGGTTGGTATACTAGCGGCGCTGATGATGAGAATAGAGGCCCTGATGTGGACCGCGCTATTAATGAATATTGTCCAGGACCTAGTTCACCAATCTGTCAACAAAACGAATAATTATGTATGAGAATTTGACTGGTGGTAAGTAGGTATGAACAATCTCAGTTTCGAGCGGTTGCGGATTCAATTCTGTATCAATTGATCGGAGTGGGAGTTTTATGTAATGTGGTTATTTATAAAAAAATATTTAAATATTAGTATTTTTAGTACAATACTTATTCAATTTAAGTATATTTTAATAGGTATCTAGGTAAATATACAACAGAAAGTCCTGCAGTGCTTTTGGAATTATAAATACGAACACGAGAAAATAACATATTACTTGAGAAGAAAACAGTATTCTTACATTGAACTCGATGTGTCTAGACGTAGCGGCTTGTATTTGCACCTCTTGTCCTTGCGTGAACTGTTCTCCATTGACCCGCCTTCCCTCTACAGCTACGTAAAGATTGTGGGCGCGGGAGCCACCAGCTATAGCCACGCTATACGTGCTGAACGGTCTCAGCACTTTGGGACCGACCACAGATATACTAAAACATAAACATATACATAATATCTAATTTACTTCCTCCACAATTATACTGATAGTCAGTATAATACAGTTTTTTTAAAAGACTTATAATAACAGTTACTAAAATAGTTCCGTTAATATTTCTTTCGTTTTAACATTTCATAAAACTTAAATAGATTCGTTGTTCCAAAACAAAGATTACGACTAATTAGCAGAGGTTTCTATTTATACGCATAATAATTTTATACTGTTACTTATAATTCTACGATAATAGTTACTCTTGTCACTATAAGTTTTAGTCAATATAAAATAATTATGATATATAGGTATGAAATAAAATATAGTAACCTATCTATAGACGGTATACATTTTATTCATGATATAACTTACCATTGTACAATAGGAGCGGCCAAAACCACAATGGAGCAGTATATTAAAAGTCTTTGTGCCATTATTCTGAAAACATAACCGTAGAATATTATTTATTATACGAGTATAAGTGTGAACCTGTATATGACGGCAGACCAAAATTAATATTTTAAGGACTTGTTTTGATTCAATAAATTATTACATTAATAGCATATATTTGCACTGTTATTGGAGAAGATTTATTAAGTGATCTTTCACTTAATAAATCTTCTCCCATATGATTATGATATGAATATGATTTGAATATATTCATACAAATGTGTATGAATATATCCAAATCATATATTGGTATAAGTACACCTACAATATTTTATATCAAGTTATCCAGTGTGTTAATAAAACAAATACAGGTGTTTGTACCCTCAATTGAATTTGACCTCGTGAGACAACTTATGGAGTATGCGTATTTATTTGATAACATTTTCTTCATCTGTATGGCATGACGCATAAAATAGTTAGTTCTACGTGATTACAACTGCAAAGAGAGATTAGAATCATGATCGAATCTGACATTGAAGATTGATCAATCGATTATGAGATTTGTCTTGGGAATTTAGTACACTAGAAGCATTTCAACAATGTAACCACTAATATAATAATCAGAGCAATCATTTAAAAAGTACCTGTAATCAGAGTCATATTTTGAAATGGATATGATCATGCTCATTCATAATAATAGATTCTGTCACAAAGAACAGTTACTATTTCATAGAACCTGTTCCTTGTATGTGAACAGATGTACTCATTGTCATATATCATGCTTTTTCATACAGGGTAGTAATGGATAAGCTGCTTTTTCCACCAACAATTTTTTTTCCTTTTATGTTGCAAATTAGGTACATTCAAAGTTTCTTTTCTTTGGAGTTTATTCCGTTGGAGTTTCTTCCGCAAGAAACGTTTTTTAAGATATTATGCTTTAGTAATTATACGACTATACCTATGTAGTCGTGACTCTCGTTTATAATAAGACAAATTAGTTATTTCATTATGACTCTAAGGCAAATCCTTATAATCAAAACAAGATCGTAAAATACATACAAAAACTGTATTGAATGAGTCCTATATTTTTTTTTGTAAAAGGTTTAGTGAACAGTAGTCGAGTTGTAGTTGTAGTTGATGTTTAGTCATCTACTTATTTGATAGAATCATTCACACCTGATATATTGTCGTGATCGTGGGTGAACTGTTTGTTGCATATGTATTTATTTCACATATTTGTCATACTTATTGAGCTCATCGTCCTTGTGTCCCAGCACGTCTGACTCATTACGTCAACATTTCGCGTTGGCGGAACAACCTTTTTTAATCAATATGGTAAGGCAAACTTGAGTTCAGCCCACATACCCAAGTTTTTCAATATCTAAAACACTTCTAAGAATATAACTTATGTCTTCAATTGTACATAGGTTGGTTTATAAATATTATATATATATATATATATTTATAATAATTTAATAAAAAAAATAATAAGTTCATATGTTTTCTTTTACGTGCAATGAAAACAGTTTTTTTTACATTTAAATAACAACAATCATTATATTTATATATCATTATTTATAATAAAAGTAGTTACATACCCAAATATATTCTTTAATTTACTTTAAACTAACAATAATAATTTTATTCTAAGTAACAAGAGATTTAGGTCCCCTATGAAATAGTGATTGCTGGGAAACTACAGCTACAGCTGGAAAGAATGAATGAGACTAGAAAGGTACATTAAGATAATATACAATAAACGTCTAGAATATATGTATATATCTCTACGTCAGATTTGTACGTTTGCAGATACAAACTTTCTCTTAAACAGCGCAGCACCACGCGGGTGTGTTTACCTCCAAGCTTAACAAAACAATCGATACAGAGAGCGCTCTCGATAATACTTCCTAACTGAACTCATCTGAATACGCACGATTTCTATACCTACTATAGTAATGCAGTAAAACTTCAACACATCACTAGTAGCAGACTCTAGAGGATATACAAATGACTTATTGTATACTCTTAAGCAACCCGTAATACAATCCTAGTAATTCACGTAACACCATATACCACTGACCTTAACTATCAAAGCAATCACTTGTAGTTTTAAAAATTATCACTATATCACAGTAGGTTTAATTCGGGTGTTCATAGTGGATGTGATGTCAGGTTGGCGCGGTACACCGAGTCCGCGCGAGATGCAGTTCGACAACTGACTGGTTGTGGCGGCGCCTGCGCAGACCGCAGGTGGGGCGCCGCGAAGCCTTGCGAAAATCGGCCACCACTGACCGTGCCGTTGCACCTACACTTGAAATTTTCGAACCCATAGATTTGCAAATAAGTAAATTCGCACCAATATAAAATGGAATAATGATAGGTAAGATTTTTTTTAACATATCGTATATACTTTGAAAGAATTTAATATATAGTTACATTATATCTGAAAGCAAAGTAGAAAGTATAGTTAGTAAGGGTACATGTAGATTTGCATTCTTATATGATTGTGTAATCATGTGATACAAAGTTTTTTGTAAGAAACTAGATTATATATACAAGTAGGTACAGAACGAATTGAGCACCCCATTGCAATTGACGTTCACGAACTGATGCACGATGCGGAGGCTGCGCACCGCGATCAGTGGTGGGACAGTGCATTCCTAGAAACAAGTTTTAGAAGTACCACACAATAGCGCATTAGTCAAACATAAATCGCGGGATGAAACAGTAGTATACTAGATATTTTCTGATGCATGCATACCACAAAATCATCAGACTTAAAAATTACGAATGGAATTGATTATAATAACTTACACGCTTAATATTTTAATGCTAACGCTTACCATTCTTCCATTCCATTTATATTTTTGTATTTATTATATAATATTGAAATAAAAATACGTTGTATACTGTTACTATACTGGCTAATCAGAAATGTCTAAATTAGTATTTAAATTTATAGGTCTGTTATTGTACATTTTGTTTATGCTTCAACTTCTTGTAAATCTTCGTATTCCTAACATTTTTCTTCTATATTTAATTTACCTATAAAATAGATCTACAACAAAATACGTTATTGAAATAATGATATTGAATAGTAGACAGGATTCTCTACTATACATTTTGTTGTTGATCATTTTGAAATGATGATAAGATTTTATTATTAGTGTTTAGTCGGTAACCAAGAAACTTGTTTCATCACTGCAATTTTCCTTAGTAGTTTTAAATTTTAAAAGTTTTTAACTATTTATTAGGCGATCATAAATTTACATTTTTTGCATGTTGTTCAGGAAAACTGACTAGATTCCAAATATATACGCAATTATCGCAATCAATGGGTATATTATTGGTATTTTAGTATATCCATCGATTCGTTGACACCACACGGAAAAAATCGTAAAGTTTATGGAACAAGAATTCTAAATGAATTTACGTAATTCGTATGTAACCACAGATCTCTAATAACGGGCTATATGTTTACTCCAAATGGAATTGAGCTAAAAGGCTGTTAATAGCAATAGTTGGATCGCCTTATTAAATGTATTTCTGTTGTACTTGAAATAATACACAAATCCGCTTTAATATAATATATTTATTTTGTTATTAGGAAGAAATTATATGTATTTAATCTGCAAGAAATGCATCAATGGGACAAAAGTGCGTAGGATTTGAGCTTTCAACCGGTTTCGAGGTCTGAGAACTCTGTGAAGGAGTATTATCATTATCGTGCAATCGCGCTGCCAATGTAGCATTATCAGATAGAGCACTTGCTAGGGCACGCTCTAAACGAGCAGCTCCCGCTCTCTCTGCTTCTAGAGCTGCTCTTATTTCAGATATAGCCTCAGCATCATGATCTAATATTTTCATCTTTGAATCAGTTTTATTTGTATGTTCTGATAAACGTAGTTGTAATTCAGCTACATGTGCTCCAAGCCTGACTATTTCAGCTGAAATTAATAATAATTTAACATTAATATCTTTTTAAGGAACACTGCCAATAAGGTGATCAACTAACATATCATATCACATTGTCTTCAAAAGTAACAACAAAAACTGCAAAATCAATAGACTTTTCTCTTAGTTACTTAAATGGAGAGTTGAATAGATCTTACAGTTAGCAGCAACTAAGTCTCGAGACGTATGTTGGAGCTCAGCAGCAGATAATCGTTTTTCACGTGCATGTGCTGCCGCAGCCAAGCGTGCTCTTTCCCTCAATTCTGAGCCACCTGCAGCACACTTCTCAACTCTTCGAAGGTCGTTTTCCAAACGAGACGCTTCACTAAACAATATACGTTATCTAATCAAGTATTGAAAGAAGGTGACAAGCAATCAGATTGTTTTAATTTGCAAAAACTAACTGTTAGTGCTCTTATTAAAGTATTCTGTATACATTTGATACTACATATATATGACATTTTCGTGGTTGGCTAGTAGCACTAGTTTCGGAGTAAAATTTAAAATTTCGTTCATTTACTATTTTGACAATAAATTGGCCAATACGATGATCGAAAGCGAAACTACGATATTGACAATATTACATTAGCGATAAGACAACAAATACTTAAACTAAAATCCTACTAAAGAAAAATCACGCTTTAAAAAGTATGAAATGAAATATATTCTCATCTGAAATTATAATCCATGGCTATATGTGTATGCCATCGGGTACTATTTTTATTAGAATGTATGTATGTATGTATATAATGTTGTTGGTGGTATATGATCACGGCTAATATTTTCTGATCAGATAATTTCTTATTTTATATTTCTTAGGGCGTGACTTATTAGGAGTTGTTAATTTTAAATCTTAAAATAATTTCTTATAGAATTATAATATATTTTACATGGGTTTCTAGCGAAGATATATCTGGTTTACATCTGAGGCGTGAATTAAGAAATTACTCCCATTCCATAAGCTAAATGGATCAATTAAGCTGTTATATAATCTAACAAGGTATGATTTTAGATCTTTAAGTTACGAGGGAATAGACGAACATACATAAGTACCTACGTAAATCCTTAATTCGATCAGATACAGTCAAGAATTTATATTTACTTACTTATATATAAATATGTATATTAAATCAATATAGTTTACTTGCGAGTATCCTCTGTCGTAATTCGAACACGTTCCTGTAACTCCGTATATTGTCGTAGGAGTGTTGAATGTGACACTTGTAAGGGCCTCAACTGCTGAAGTTCTCTCTCTAGTAAAGCTATTTGCCCAGAAAATGCTGCATAACGCTCTTCTAGAAGAGTCCGTTGCCGTTCCTTGCATATTAAATAATTTCTAAGTAACGAAATAAATAAACTAGTACCTACTACCACTTACGCAACATCAATCATTTTATGTATATACAGTTTATATGTATACAAATGGAATGCATTTTCGTATTATATTATTGATAAAGAAAAATGTATATAATAAACGCAAAACATACAATCAAATTAATTACTTAAGCAATTGCTACTGCGATTAAAGAATGTAAATTACTAAAATTACGGATATAATAAAAAATATATATTATTTTCATATTTCTATTTACTTTGATGCTCGTGTGATGGGCAAGTGGCAACCGTCGTCTATATACTTACATGAACAGCACCACAACAATACGTCATCAAATCACAGTAATGAATGTAATATTCTAACATACTATTAATTCTACTTGTATTTTGAGGCCAGTGATTTCATCTTGAGCCTTAGCGAGAGTTGCAGCAGCTTGGGAGGCTCCGGCGGTGGCGGCCACCGCTGCGCTACGGGCTTCCGCTGCAGCTCGCTCTGCGGCCTCACGAGCCACTTCTGCTGCCTCGGCCTTCGTGGATTCAGTACGCAGAGCTTCTCGAAGCCGACTTTCGGAATCCTTAGAAACATTACCAACTGTTAATACTTTTACTAGTATTAACATCGAGATACAACTATGATGCTCGTCATCCTTCTGCGGCTGCACGCTGCGCGCAATATTGTGCATCTGTGGCGCATTACGTTTTGCGCGGGAAAATAAAGATTACAATATGAATTCTGCAGACATACAAATTTTCTTATGCTCCTACTTCTTAATTGTTTTATACTATTGATTATTTACTTATATATTTAATTATATATATTTATTTACTTCTTTTATAATATATATTGTGTATATATAGAACAAAACACGTATAAATTTAGCCCCTACTAACATACTTAACACCAACCATTTATAAACTATAAATCTGTTTCATATGTATATATCTTTAGCAGGTATATTTTGATAATTAAAAAAATGGCATATAAATTATTGCATTAATAATAAATAATTGAGAATAATAATATGATATAGCTGCTAGTTACTTACCGAAATAGATTGGAACTCCCCAATTATTTCCAAGAATTGTTGTTCAAAATTTTCAAATTCTGTACTTATACCCATAATCAAAAACTAATTGTATTTATTGAAATACGTATGGAAGAAAGTCATGTGCTTTTATACACTGAGTAAGTAAATAACAATTAGTCTCCTGTATTTTATCTAAATACTCGATTTTTATGCATAGAGTAGTTTATTTAGTAGTAATAGTTAATGCGCGCCAAGCGAATTTTAAAAATTATTTATTCGAAATTCGAATTTTACTAACATCATAAAGTAAGTAAAGAATACAGACAACATTAAAATAATATTTTAGTGTTGTAGTCTGGCTTGCGTGCCTGGGCACAAAATAATCTGTGATACCAAATTTTAGCATGGTATTTTTTTTACTAAATAAGTTTTGGGGTTTTTGTTTTTAAAAATGTATGGAGTTGACATATTGCATGGTACCTATATTGTATTAGTAATCTATAATTGCATTGCTTCTTTTAAAATGTATTATGCTCATATGCACGTTTTAAACAAAACGATTATATGTGAAATTCTGTATAATAAGCCTTCGATTTTAGAACTTTGGTTTTAAATAGATCCCATCAAAAACATAAATGTGAAATGATAGCCGAGTTTAATATTATGATATATACCTTGATTGTTGACTTCTACGACAAAAGAGATGAGATCTAAATGGGTGCCAAGTTCAATGATCTGTCCTGAAATGTATTTATAACAATATAAAATATCATTTCTTCTTATAACTTAGGATAATATACTGTAGCCTAAGGTCTAACTTGGCCAGTTCTCATATACCAATTATTACTTTCGATTGCTAGTTACTATTAATATTAAAATAGGAACCGACAAGTAACATGTTTAGAACTTGCGAAGGCTACAGTATATTTCGTATATGAAAACTAGCCAAGTTAGACCTTAGGCTACAGTATATTATCCTAAGTTATAAGAAGAAATGATATTTTATATTGTTATAAATACATTTCAGGACAGATCATTGAACTTGGCACCCATTTAGATCTCATCTCTTTTGTCGTAGAAGTCAACAATCAAGGTATATATCATAATATTAAACTCGGCTATCATTTCACATTTATGTTTTTGATGGGATATCATTACTTTTTGTATATAAATTATACGAGGTACTTATTTATAACTAAATTAATACCAAATTATTTTTGATAAATTACTGTATTTTCGTATATTTACGGGGTATAATTGTCTTTTTTTGTGTTATTTTCTATATTTTCTTGTAACTTTTAAATGTTCAAGTGCATTGCCAATTCAGTATCAGGAATTTTTGGGCAAATCGGGGCGGTATAACGTCCACAGATGGTTGTACTCTACAATAGAGCTCTCGTGACTTGGATCAAAATTGTTAAGACGTACTCCATCTAAGGTTTTAACTCTGAAGAGTCCAACGTAAACCTGCCCTTTATTAAATATAGAGGAGGCTATGTTGAGAAGAGGACTGCCAAAACTAAGGCCTTGTGATTTGTGGATAGTAATAGCATATGTTAAGCAAATACGGAATTGTTCTCTATCAACATATACATTATTTAATATCTGAAACTTGGTATTGACACGTTATAGTTCGTAAAGACGATTATGTAACAAATTGACTGTTATCTATTGAATTCTCAAGAAAACAATTTGTTACCAATAAGTTCTCATTCTCGAGTTAACTGTACATTCCTACTTATAACTATACTAAAATTGTTATTAATTTTTGGTTTAAACTATTGTCTATACCATACGTATTTACTAAAATAATGTAATAATAATATAATCACAAATATATAAGTATAATTTAAGAAAGCTATAAATTTCGTAGCATAAATCGCAACCTTATAGGTTAGATATCCAGAAACAAAACATTGAGTTTTATCGCACTGCTCCCACACGGCGCCGCCGCGGCGCCCTATACCGAAATGCCTATTATTTAATAATTATTTATAAAAATAATGATTTTACACTATCGATGTGCGCTAAATATTGAAACAATAATTAATACCAAATCTCAGTTAATAACATAATAAATACGAAATTCGACTATACTCCTAGTTATAAGTACGAGTATATTTTAGACAGAATCTAAACTATAGCAACTAGTGTTTACCGCTCATTGCAATATTTGAAGTTTGCTAGTTATCGACAATGATGTGAAGGGGTCAACGTAAATTGGTAATGATCGACGTTTTCATACAATATTACTTTCGGTCCAGTACAAGATGAGATTTTTCGCCAGGGATCAATGTCAATTGGTGGCTATCGACGTTTTCATAGAATTTTAGTATTCGTCCAGTATAAGTTGAAATAGAATCAATTAAAGTGAAAAATTGTAGTAAAATGATAACAATTTACCAGTTTCAGATTTTTTCCTTTATATTCACCTAATTACCTATCTGCATACCAAATTTGAACTTCCTAGGTCATCTGGAAGTGGGTTATAATTTTGATCTATAGTTGATCAGTGATAAAAATGACGATTTTTGGACATTAATATCTAAATAACCGTTTGAGATATGTTTATGAAATTTGGAACACATATTTATCTCGCAAGTCTCAATATATGAACCAAATTTGACAGGTTTGTGTGAAAGAGTTTTTGAGTTATGAGGGGGTCAAAAGTGGCTCCAAATGGTTCGTGTAAATATACACACGGTGCTGCAAGCCAGTTTACTTGAAACTCGGCTTGACACGCTGCCGCGTGTCTAGATTTTTCTATTGTTCAATTCTCATAAAAACAGTGTCAACTCTTATATAAATAACTTAATATTGATAGTAGTCGCTAGTCATTATGTATAGTCTGCTAGTAAGTAGGTATCAATGAGGAATTGCAACCATTATATTATTTTAATAAGACCTAAACGTAGTGATTACTTGCTCATAGACAAGGGCAACTTTCGGAACAGATATGGTTTATACTTATTTGTAATAAATGATGAGGTATCTATGCATCATTATCATCATCGCTGTCGTTGGTCGTTGATTGATAATGATACCTACTCGTAGTCGTGCCGAAGCACCAGTAGAGGATATTATTATGGAGGTTTCCCACGTGGGGGTTAACTTGATATGACATATGCTAAGAAATGATGTCCGTTAAAAACCATAGGGAATGTTTTGAAATCGATATAATTATCGATTTCAAAACCCATATATATTTATTAGATTGTAAGTACAAAAAGTTATAAATAAACAGTAATAAGATTAGTCAGAGTACCTAAGTTGAAAACAAAAGCTACCTTAATTTGAAGGTAAATATGTAGATTTTAATAAAATAAACTCGAACAAATTACATTTTTTATTGGGCAGCAAGTACAAGAACAATAACATCTAAAACAATCTTCTGATCCTGAGAAAAATAATTTATCAACACCTAATCGGATCAATTCAGACGATTCCGTAATTGAAGTGTGTCAATTTTCATACTATCTTTAAAGAACGGGCAGCTTGTGAGGGGAATATTAAAAAAGGGGGAGAGTTGTTTTTCCAGGGGTTGAACTCGGTACACTATATAAACCCTTGTAAATGTTTACGTTGTTCATTCTTCTGAAGACTTTTTACCGGTGTGTTTAAATATTAAGGTAGGTGGATACCTAATAATATAAAAATAGTATTTGCTTTGTTGTACAAAAGTGCAATAAATGATAAATATAATAATTTTCTTTTTTTTTAATTATCTTTTATTCATTCAACTTTTTTTAGGTATTCGTTTTTTATATTCTTGGCTAATCTGATAATGTTTATTATTATTAAATAAAAGTGTATGTCTGATTATGCAGTCATAGTTATCTAACAAAAATATTGTATTGAACCCGATTGTGTATTTAGAATATTTTTTTACAATATATTCTATTTTCAACTTAGTAATCCATGCGGTAAGTTGAAAATAGAACTTATTTTCTGTGTACCATGTTTATATTTGTAACCAAATGGAATTCTAATGCATAGTAATATAGATATTTAAATTTATCAATGGACTGTACTTTTTAAAATGATATTTTTTTCTAGATAACAAATCATCAGCATGCGGATCTTAACGATCATTATTTTGGCGGTGACTGTGGTTGCTGCTTTGTTCTTGCGACGCAGCGAAGGGGCTAACTTGCGCGGCTTCGCGTTGCCTGAGGATGACGATGAATACCGACCCAGACCACTGTATAGGGACTACAACCTTATACGGGATCGGGTTGCTCGGGCCGATGATTCCTTCGATGATTACGGCCATCTAAGGTTCGGTCGCTCTGACGACTGACGCACGCGCGCCTTTGACCAACGACATGCTACCGTTCACAAAGTACCATCGCTATTCAAATCATGCCACAACTAAGCATATCTACGAATAATGTAGTATCTACTAATAGATACTTATTAAATCGACATGAATTACCATGTGGCTGGCAGGGTATTTCATCTCCGTGTAATTATGAGTAATGTAGAAATAGAAACGAATATGTAAATATACCATAGTTACAAATTGTTATTATTTCAACCCCTAATCCTTAATCCTAATTCTATTAATGGTAATGGTATCTATAAGATACCACAGGCGCAACAATATAGGTATACCCATCTTTAAAAGGGATGATTGCTACTCAAAATCAGTTTGAGTACCATCCGAATCACAAAAAAAACTAGGTATATCAAAAAAGTAAATATAGGAAACATGTTAAATTAAACACATAGTATTTTAATTAATGTAATTTAAACAATAAATATTTTTAAACAGATATTAATTACAATAAACGTGTTACACTTCTCCTAACGAAATTTGTAATTATAAGTAACAATACAATTTTCATGCATTTTAACCATATAATTAATATCTCTGATTCTAAATAAATTTTACATTCATTAAACTTCATTTATATTTTTAACACAAATATTACCCGCTTAATGTTTCTAATATTTTATCTATCGTTGTATTAAGGCCATGACGATTTGCAATATTAAATATCTAGATACTAGATTTTATAATTATTACTTTTATAAACGATAGTAAATGCATATTGATGGTTTCAATATTCAATTATATATAAAAGCTTCATATATTTATATGTAACTTTCGAATGAAAGCATATCAAATAAATCGCAATAATGTATTCGTTGTACTCACTGGGAATGAATGAAGCTTATGTCTGTGGTAGTATTGCTACTTAATACGACAATGAATTTTGAAATAATGAATTTAATGTTTTTTTTTATTTTTAACAAGGCAATTTATACCATACCTACATATTATGTGACTACTTCCAAACATTTTACACCTATATGGTGACACTGGCAAAAAAAAATACGGTAATTAACTGGTGTCAGTCACCTTATAAAACATTAGGCACGCATGATTTCACTATTCTACATTAAATTAATATGAGACTAGTTAGTTCTTTCCTTATACTAGATATTATATTTTATATTATTACAATATCTATATTTACCTTACACACCGATGGTTAATTGTACTTGGTGATATTGAAGCGTATTGGTAGGGAAATCTTTGAATAAAATATCTACAAAATTATATGTTCATAATGACCAAGTTCAATGTAAAAAAGTATACAAGAAGATGGTATTCACAAACTAATATTTATACATAGAAGTAGTTTAACAAAAATATTTTAGTAAAAAAATACTTTTAAATTGATTAAGCAATTCCTGACCTTTTATTTTTATCGAAGATAAATTAAATTTCAAGTGTTTAACACATTTATGAGTATTAAATAAAGTGTATAAATATATCATAATTTTTTATTATTGTACTGTATTATTGGTAAAATAGATTCAAGCACGTGGAATTATATTATATCCTTCTTTTGTGTGTTTCCAAGTAGAGCCTGCAAGGAAATATAATATATCAAGATTATTATATAAAGAATAGAATACAGGAGTAAAAATATGGCCTCTCTTATAATAATACGTATATTTTAAGAAATAATAAGGTTGACAAACTTAAGTAAATTATCGTCGTATGAAATTTGGTACAGACAACAATTCAAACTAGTTAGTATCTAGATATTCTAATAATAGCCTACCTATTGTATAAGAAACATATTTTATTGTTCCAAAAATATTTTTAAGAAAACACTTATATACTTCCATGATGTCGGGCGAAAATACATTCAACATATGTTTGATAATCATATCAGTAGTTTTGACTAAAAATTAGATTGCTTCAAGATTATATTTTTATGCTGTAAACAGTTAGTTATATAGTATTGTTACATGTATTAAATAGTGTATGTACCTTATTTACAAAATTGACGATGGCAGTCGCCGGTTGCTCCGTTTCCAATTCAGCAAAAACATGACATTGATTATCGGCTCCAGATGATACACGCGCCACGAATGCGAAGATATTCCTAAAACAATAAATAACTATAAATAATATCTTTTATCCGCCGCTTCGTTTGCTTTCTTTAATTAACATATAGTCTAGGTCCATTTTCGTCACACAATCTATCCTATCGTCTCGCTAAATTTTAAAGATCAGACATTTAGTCGTAAAAAGTAAGAAGTAGGCAAATAGACATAGTTTCGCATTTCCAATATTAGTTTGGACGGTAAAGCAAGCTACTTGATACATCGTGTACAAAATCTTCTTCAAATGTATCAAATATATTTCATAGTTATATTTTTTTCTACTCACTTTAAACCTTGCTTCCCATTATCCACATAGGTAAATCGTCTTCCCTCTGGATCCAAACCAGCGTAGGACACACCGGAGGCGGGGTAGTGACGCCTGAAGAACAGTTTACGGGCTGAATCCGTTAGCGTGATGCCGCCACCGAACACTTTGAAGTTAACTACGTACGCAGGTGACTGAAATAAATATACAAAATTATAATATTATATATTTTTATGATAATATATACAATCAATATAGAGACAAAGTTCAAAATAATTAAATATACATATATGTATATATATTTAAATTCGTCGAATTGATTTACTCAATAAGAATGCTGTTTATTCTTAACAAATATGTGCACTAAAATTACATTTATTTGAAGTTAATGAAAAATTCAACTGCTTCATATTTTTACTGTAACATTTAAAATAAAATAACATATATCCATAAGCACCTTTTTCTGCAATAAATTTTGTACTGCCCTCGTCACCGCTGCGGGTCCTGTGAGCGCCTCAGTATTCTCTGAACCAAGCAGAAGGACTTGACAAGCAGCGCCTGTAGCTAGCAGGGCCCGCGCAGCAGCATTAGCGGTGCCACCTGTCCATGGATCCCTGTGGATATGTATATTTATTAACAATCACAAAACTATATATTAAAATTTGAACAACGTGAACTTATAGTTTTGTCCCCAAGATCGTCGGACCCATCTAAGATCAGTCGTGAAGCTATATAATTATTATATTTTTAATTAATAAAACTAAATTTCGAATAATATATTTTATGTAAAACATTACATAATATTAGAAATAATATTTACCTGTCAGGTAAGCTTAGCGGCACGGGCAGTGCTAGTGGTGTGACTGTGTGCTGATATACGAGAGCAGAAAGCGAGCTGAATACTGGCTCATCTGGACAGCCTCGCAATCGTACCCCTTTCGCTGTCGGTTCAATGAGGAAATGCCTCACACCGCCAACACCGCCCGCGCGAACCGCCAGACCAAAAGCTCCCGGGAATGAATTTGAGTCCCTAACGATAAATGAGCCTTCCTCCAATGGTAGAAGAGCAGATATGGCTGCAAAATAACAATAAAACAAAGTAGTGAATTTTACTGAGTAAAATTGTTCTTCTGTTCCATTTTGGTATGTTTTTAAATCACTATAAAATAGTGTTGGAAATTCTAACAAAATTACAGTTACAAAGTCATGTTTTTATTTCTTTCTTAAATTTACATGAATTTGATAATTCTATGTGTTATCAGTGATTTATTTTTGTTTATATTGTTATTTTTGTTCTGTATTTTATTATGCATCGCAGTTTATATTTTGTAGTCTTTTAATAGTTATAACAGTAATCAAATCCACGGATCTTGTTTAATCTAAAAGAGATCTTATTACTGTATATGTATATTGATTTGTTGTTTACTGACCATCGTCCCTGGATATGTTTGGTTTGTACCAGTAGTGGCTGGTGTCTCTGGCGAAGCGCACTCTGTCAGGCGCCACGTGCTGCGGTTCTGCGCTGCCGCCGAGACTCGACCGCCGCGAGCCGAGACTGCCGTTGTATATGCGGTACTCCACCTCTGGGCTGCCATCGCGCTCTTTTCTATATCATTATTTGCTATTTTATAATTATATATCTCTATAATAAAATTTCATGTCTTAGTAGTATTTAATTTCTTCATTGTGTATAGTTTAAGTCTTCATTACGGCCCTAAAGCAGTTATCTATCAACGCATACACAGACTAAAACGGCAGCTGTTGCATCTTCAGTTATTTTTAATTTAATTGTTAATATTTTTATACAACATTAGACATTGTTTATTAGCCTTGTGTTAAAGAATTCAGTTTAGTTAGAATATTTTTATGTATAATAAAATTAACGAATATGAAATACGAAATTCCAGCATTATCGTAATGTATACTTTTAATACTGTAAAAGCAAGCGTATTTGGAATAGCCTGGGGACTTATAGTACACATTACGCCCTAGTTTAGATTCCAAACCAAACCCTCATAAAGAATTATTTCCAACTAAAAAGTACAACTATAAATAAGCATTCTTATGAGTGGTAAATAGATAATAGAGTGATAAGAGTATTATTAAAAAAATATATAAAATCAAAGAGGTCAATTCATATGTAGCAACGTAAGTTATCACTACAAAGTTTTTTTTTTTACTCGAAAAAGGTAAAAACGAAATTAAAGGTAAAGACTTAATTGGAAGTGTATCAGCATCAACATTGAACTGATTTTATGTATAACTCCATAAATGGATACGGCGTAATAAAAATAAAGCTGTATAAATTTGGCAAGTACCTTGTGACTGGCGGCGACCGCGGAGGGCGCGCGCTGATCGAGGGCGTGGGAGTCGGCGGGTAAGGCGTGCGCGGATGTGTCGGAAACGCGGGCGTGCCCGCGCGGGACTCAGCGCGTGACCAGCTCTCCGACCGCTCTCGGATCTATGAAAACATTATGTACACACGTCTCAAGTTATACCCATCATATGGAATTTTATTGTAGAATGTAATTATTAAGGGTAGAAACTATATTATTAATTGATTTGAATAAGATAAAGGAAAAAGTATCTTAAATCGTATTTTATCTCCTCAACGCTTTTATTCCGATATTTATTATACTTTTTACAATCAATAGACACGTTTGTTTTGTTTTAAATAGAAAGAATAGTATCAGTATTTTTATTATTTTATGTTTTGCTTTGGTAAAATAAAGTATTATAAATTAATTTTTTTTTCCAGAGAAATCTGATTAAATATCCTAACTTACGAGAGTATCATTGTTAAGGGGCTCCGCTAAAGATAACAATCCGGGCACCGGAGTACTTCTTGGTGTAGAGTTCGTACTCCATTCACGCAACGTCGTCTTTTCATACATAAACTTCTTAGAAGAGGTTCTGCAAAACAATATTTTTTATTAATCGCTGTAACAATAGAGGTAGGTAGCCAGTATAGTAGAGCCTGATACTTGTCAGTTTTTATAAAATTACTTACCTGTCAGGTGCCTGTGGACTGATGCTATCTGTTCGATGACTTGTACGTATCGTGTTAACATGTAAAGGTACGCTAAAATCGTCGTCATCGTCCGCGAATGCTGTCGTGTCACTTGTATAACCGTCAACTCTAAAAAACAAGATATTATCGTGAATTATCATTATTTGATTATATTAATTGATCTTTTAAAAATATAGTAGAATGTTCCATTACCGATGACTGGCCGAACGACGAACATTATGGGGACCATTCCACTCAAGTGGTAGTCGGGCGACTCTTTCCCTGGCTTCTTTTCGTTCTCGAAGTTTCTGTTGTTGTCTTTGTAGCCAAGTTAGGCCAGTACTTTCCACACCACTTTCTGATCTTCGAGGTTCTCTTAGACGAGAATTTTCACGCCAATCTAATGTACTTGCTGTTCGCCAATTCGTATTATCTGGTGTCTTTCGTATACTAGTTGCAGATCGCTCTTTCCAGTCTGCTTCGCCGTTCAACCATCTAGTAACAATTATAGATAATAAATAAATATGAAATGTAAGGTTTCCATGAAAAACTAATTTATTACATTATAGACAAATTCTAATGATGCTACGGAAATATTATTAAAGTATATATATAGGTAGGTATATTGTTATCACGTTACAGGCTATTATAAAAACTTGTCTTTAAAATGGATGAACTTATGATAACATCATAAAGTTTTACTGTTAAAACATGCGTAGGTCTGAAGGTTTCGACGCTTTTAAGGTAATGTAAAACAAACTTGATCAGAGCTATTAATAATGTGCTATAATCATTAATACGTGTACATTTGAATAATAATTATCTTCCGCAAATCTTTCTGAATGGAATGCCTTTATGTTCTAAGGTTGTTTATTGGTGTTGGTGTAATAATGCATATCAATAATTGTAATCGAGACAAAGACACAATAACAAACATAAGAGATTCGGTAAATAACATAGTTACATTTTATTAGAAAGTATACAGAGGTCTGCGGATGTAAACGGCGACACCAAGCGCCGTTTAGTCGGTCAACACAGACCGTTTATGGCGACGGTTATCTCGAAATAGCAACATGTTTGGTTCTTGGCGAGGACGCAATCACACGCCGTCACTCCAAATCAATCGGCGAATTGCGAGTTACTATGGCAAGTCTTATCGTAAACCATACGTGTAAGGGAATGCAGCTATTCACTTCATTGATGATGTTATATAATATTTAAATTATGGAGTATATTATATATAAGATAGGCAGATAACAATGTGAAATGTTTTAAATATTGCGTCAAAAATTAGTGCATATTGAAGTATCCTCATTTGCACTATGACTATAAACTAAACTATACCCGAGCGAAGTTGTGGTGAGTCGCTAATCAAGGCTAAGATTAATATTTTGGACAATCAAATATTTATAGCATTAGATAAACATTACCAAATTATTATTACAGCTATTCAGCCCAATGGGAAGTATGGCTACGGAGTGTATCAGAACTGCAGCATATAAGATTTTAATAACTAATCTGCGGAATTCATATTTTTGTTTCTCGACGACGACCTCGCTTGTCAATAATTAATAAGGCCAACTGTTCAATCTAGTACGTACTTGTACATACGACGTATACTGTCTATGATTCAATCAATCAAAGACATATCAAGCTCATAACATATAAAAAATTACAGTGACTGCATAGGGCACTAACTAATTGATAATGATTATAATGTATTTAAGTAGTCTTTAGCCATTAGGAAAGCCGCTGTTCCCGCGACTGTAGGTGTGTCCCCTAATGCTTTCTGTCTGTATTTATTATTGTACAAATGGTACGTCTATTATATAGAATAGATTGTCAGAAATTGTCAGTGGAGTGAATAATATAAAATATCAATTTACATTTGAAAATGAATCATAGGTAGGTGTTAGAAAAAATACCTATGGGAACAGAAGATAGTCAGTGATTTTCTTCTTATGCCTATTAAGTGTCAATAAGTTGACTACAATATATTAAGAAACTGATTTACTTAATTTATGTACCACCGAAACTGTCGCATTTAGAAAAAAAATGTATACAGACATTTCTTAATCCCTTCACATAGTATTAGTAAGCGTCAAGGGTTTCTTGAAATTCCCGCGTAAACAGGAAAAGTTAAACAGATGGTGGATTCATGAATAAGCCTTACTTAGCCATAAAAATAACATTTGCACAAGTGTCGCCGTTACGTAGATTTGTTTACCTCATTCCACAGTGCTAATTCATACACGTTAAGGCACGTGTGTCGAATTTAAATCGTAGTCCTTCAGACACGACAAAGGGAATAAATATATCGCACACCTAATACAACAAATATTTTAGAAAATTAAATCTTTAGAATTAGAAAAAAATAATTTTAATCTTATTTCTCAAAATTCTTAATTAATGCTAATCAAATATTGTATTAAGGATGCAGTACATAACAACGTAGAGTACAATATTATATATTATAATATTATGATGAAATTTATATCACTAGTGATCGGTAATCTTTATATACAATAAAAATTACATGTTACGTTGTTTATCCGCGACGGACTCCTGATCCGATCGCAATTTTGATTTACATATTGTGGGCAATTTGATCCAACTTGAAAGATAGAAATAGAGATGTAAGCTATTTCTATCAATTTATAGTCTTAATATTATTTTATTGCTAATTTATTTGTCTATTATTAACCACAGCAACGCGTGGCCGGATCTGCTAGTATAATATAATATGTAGTTTAATTCCTTATAAATTCACCATCGTTACATAGATTACTTAGCTTACTTGTGACATATTGGGGCGATTAAGGGGGTCTTCCTATGTGATGGGTTGAAAAAATCGATTTTTTTTTTTCATAAATTGCTCCCTTAACATGTCTAGAATACGGTAGTAAAGCGATTTTAGAAAATTCGAAGTCGTTTTAAAGATACAGCAGGTAAATATAGAGACCGGGCCGCACCGTCGGCTTTATACCTGGCCTCCCTTTTATTAATATATTTGTTTATACAAGTTTAGACACGTTTCTACAGACTTAAACAGAAATTTCTATTGTTATAATATTTTACCGAAGTTATTTTAGTCTATCCAAGAAAGTTATCCAAGAAATTACAAAATTCTACGGATTAGCAATTCGACGCCATCCAGATTCGCTTGAAGATATGAGAAAGGAAGTTTGGGCAACGTACTATCACAAATGTTCTTCTGATGAAAACCCTCAGCATCAATTTTGTCCAGAAGGCGAAGACAGTTGGTGTAAATGGCGTAAGGATGAAGCTAATAATGAACTGGACCAATTTCATCACGATAAACCACCTCTAATTCCGCAAGTCCAAGAAGCTATCAAATTTTCGAAGATTTATCGAAAGACGAATTATTAATTCGTTGTTTAGGAGCAGAGACACAAAACAATAACGAATCTTTGAATTCTTTGATTTGGACTTTCGCTCCTAAACATCTTCATTCTGGTCCCAAAGTTGTTGAAATTGCTAGCTATTAGCAGTTATTATCTTTAATGAAGGTTTTCAAGGTATTTTAAAAGTTATGTCGATTATGGGATGCCCTGTTGGTCGTGAAGCCCAAGCGTATGTTGAGAAACGGGATGAAAAGCGAATCTTACGCTCTGAGCGGCGCGTAAGTGATGTCGTTAAACAAGCCAGGATTGACTCAAGAGCTGAACAATCTGCTTTAAAGGAGTTTCACGAGGAAGAGGAAGGAATACTCTATGGACCAGGCATCGCCGATTGAGAGTAAGTTGATATTTTAATAGTTTTTAACGGACTTGAAACTTTAAACGCGTTTTTCTCAAAACTGTGTTTTTCAAACTTTCCTCCATTGTATCTCAGAAACGGCTGGACCGAATTATAGGGCACACTCAATATATGTAAACGCATGGAATGAACTATTATCATTCGAAAATTTTCAAAACTTCGATTTTTTTATAGCAAAAAACAAAAAAAAAACGCCTAATTTGCAACTTTTATTTCAAATGTCTATCAAAAATCCAATTTTTTTTATATTCATTTGATTATAGGTCATTCCGTGCTTTTAAGCCTACAAATTAAAACGCCGTTTTTTTTTTTTTTTCAGATAAGCCGATCAGCCGGAATCGTGGAGGAAGTGGGAGCTCTTTTTTTCGAGGCGGGGGTGTTCAGAGCGCTGTAACTCTAGTTTGACTGAATATTTTTAGCTGAAATTTTATATTTATACTGTCCAAATATGTGTTAATAAATGATAAAAAATTTGAAGCTCTAAATATTTACTGGTCGTAGAAAAAAAATCCTAAAATATCCCTAAAAAACAGGCCGTCACATAGGAAGACCCCCTTAATTTTCTTCTCATACACCATGGGTACACCGTTAATATTAACCATTAGCTTAAGTGGGACGATTATTCCAAAATCATCAACAAAAATATCAGTAATAGAAGTATAATTCCCAATTATACGAGAGTTTTTATATATTGTCAAATCTTTATATTTGTATTTAACTGGCTGCATTAATCAATATGTCTAATAGGTTCACTTATTTGGCTCAGTCACAAAATAAAACATTTCATTTATTATATTCAGAAAATAAAGCAATACGGTTAAATTAAATTCTTTAAGACTACTTTGGTATGATTTTAGTTGCATATACCTACTATACGTCAGCAATCTAATAATGTTCCGGATGAAAGGCTAGTTAGTAGGTAGGCCACGATAACAAAACAACTGATCGTATTATGTTTGGATTCTTAGATCACCGCCACACATCTCTAACTCAGATAATAACTGTAATTTGCTCCTTGTTACTGTTGACACACTTTATTATAGCCTATTACATAAGATCGGCGCGCCAATGTATAGTGTCTATAAAAGGAGTTAGCCGTATATGTCTTCAAATGATTTATACTTGCATTAATAGATATGTTGAAATTAATGTATAAATAAAATACACAATAACAAGTACTTATATCATTACTTTGTGTATTTTTTAATCAGCTTAGGCGTTTAGTCTTGAACAATAAAATATACAGATTGACAGATAGACAGATTTATAATAATGAGTGTATGCGGTGTATTCGTTTGTTTTTTTTAAGATATACCATAGAGCCTATTTTCGTCCTCAATAATCTATCGTTATATTAAAACATATAGACCAACAGACACATTTTCGCATTTATATTAGTGTGATGTATATTGATGATGTATGTACTTTTACTATTATTATTCGTACTGAGAATAACCAAACTAATATAGCTCCGAAACTCTACTAAAACTGTATCTAAACCAACTCTTTGTGTTTAAAAGTCTATTGAAATGTCTATAAAACGTAGTAATTACTCACTCAATGTGTCTATATTCATTAATGTATGGTTTCAATTAAATCATGACGTTGTTGCTACGAGTTTAAAACCATTAGTGTTTTGTTTATGTAGGTTAGAATGAAGGTTTCATTATTAACCAATTGACGTAACCAACTTTGAAGTGACAGAATAAAAAATGAAGAATATTGAAAGCATAGGGAAATACATAGGATAGATTCCCTAGCAACTGCATATAATTTGTTTTTTATAACATGTAATGCCGAGGAAACGTATTCGTATATGCATTAAAACAATATTTAATATATTAATGTAGGTCAAAGAACAATAACAGACCGGTTTCTAATAGGCCAGAAATGTTGGGACACACATAAATGATTTAACAAGAAAATGAACTCTATTAATTAAAAACAATAAACACAGATCTGGTCAAATTATCCGAAGACAAAAAAATACGACGCTATGATGCACCTAACTAAACTGCTTCATTACTCTATTCTAGTCTAAGATTAAAGATAGAGAGATTGTTTGTCCGTGTAGACCAACAAATTATATAACATTTGTTGTCATACTAAACACTCAATAAATTAATAAATCTTGTCATTTCTTGGAATACATATCTTATTTCCATTGCATAATTAATTTATTTCAAAAATCCATTATTTTCTAGATGCCGCACGTTTATTACAATATTGGTTTTATAATTTATGTAGGTTTGCTATGAACGATGCCTTGTTAAGAAGCGAAATACGAGTACGTGTCTTATTAAGAGTGTTGAAATGCTAATGATTGGTTGGAGTCATATTTTGCAGGGAGATATATCTTAAGTAAAGGTTCTCATAATGACAGGTTAATGGTCATTTGCATACCTAATATTGACATTAAAACGAAACTAGCCAGCCGTTGAAAATTTATAATTAAACGGAGTATTACACGCGGTTTCATTTGTTGTTATTGAGATAAAAGCCCATGTCAGTCCTTATAATACAATCTATGTATTTTTACGCATTTAACCTGTTAGGCTGTTTATTGTGAAAAGGTAACAAATAGACAGAGAGACAAATACACTTTCGAAATTATTATATTAAGAAAGAAAGCAAAGAAAGTAATCATTTGTTTCTTTGTTATCCCATTCATTTGGGGTCGGCCTAATATGTTTTCTCTTCAATTCTTCCCGTTATCCCATTACTTACTCTATTTCTTGCATGTCATCTTCCACACAGTCTAACAGTCCACACAACTCGGCCTTCTTCTGTCCTTATTAGGTATGGAAGTACGGATATATTAATACAAATATACTAGGTTTATAGGATTACTATCGTCCCTTTGCAAGTTAGTTAATATAAGACACTCTCTATATTCATACCGTAGTACTGCTCTATATTGGTACCGTAGTGCTGAAAAGCAATTATTGGTTCAGTCGAAATTATAAGCGATGTAATTCTAAATTTAACAATTGAGTACAAAGAATGTACGTAGTTTTTTTTTGTTCTGATCATTGTGATTCAATTATCACCCACGGGATTGTTGGCTCAGTCCCACGCTCAAACGTAGGTTAGCGGACAACGCAAAGTTAACATAGTGCCCATTAACTAGATCGATCTCATATATCTACCTACAACTAAAGAAGAAATATTATGTGTAATAAAGAAAATTCGCTTCATAAAATAAGGCGATTCATTTTAATAAGTATTAACAGAAGCATTATATTCTTTAATTAATAAATCTTTATAACAAAATCGTATAATTTAAACAAAACAATGTTGTAAAGATATATTTATCTTAATCTATATCCAAACCATAAAAGCGAAAAATTTACCGTCTATCGGGCTGATTGTTAACTTTTCCCAACTATGCAGCTGAACGGATTTTAATAAAATTTGACGTGAAGATAGATTGTGTCACGAGGATGAAGTTGCGGGTAACAAGTTTATTATAATGGAACGAGTAGATTGTTCCTGTATAGTTAATCATTACATATTATAAAACAAAGTCGCTGTCGCTGTCTGTCCGTTTCTTTATATGCTTAAATCTTTAAAACTACACAACGGATTGAAACGGATTCTTTTTAATAGATGTAGTAATTCAAGAGGAAGGTTTATGTATATATATTACATTCACAACCGTGCGAAACCGGGGCGAATAGCTAGTTAAAAGATAAATCAATATGACTTGCTTCCTTAATGTTGTTTAACTGATACATTGAGTTTTGTTTCAAGTAGAATAATTGAAAATATCTTTTCCCACCAGTGCCCTAATTATGTTAGGATGTTATTAACAATTCACAACTATTACGGATTAAATTTGTGAGGTTTGTAATATTCTATGAATCATTTGAGAATTGAAGATGCGAACCACGGTACGGTTTGAAACTGCAACTAAATAGTTCATACATAACTACACAAATAAATTCGTTTCAAATAAGAATGTATAGTAACATCATTATGTAATGGGAGTTGGGCCTTAGCTCAACAGTTCATTAATCTACATCAGGTTACTGTTTATTTAGATGCATTTCATTAAAACCTGGCTAGGTATCGGTAGGTCTGTGAATGTAAACAGTAAGCGTGTGGTGTAGGCGGCACGCGGCGCGCGGCGGCCTCCACACCCACTACACAGGAACACATGTTTACATCTGCTTCCAGATCCCCTTTATTTAATTACATTGAAGCGTTTGTTTTTATAAATAGCCGTTATTAAAATAATAGAAAAAAAAAAACAGTTTCTATGACGACACCATAGTTATTCATATTTAATTTTCCTATTTCTTCTTTCTTATCTCGCAGTGTAATGAATCGATTTTTTTAGCTGAAACTGTACTAACTAATTAAAAGACAATTACTATTAATACACTGTCACTTCTACCTTCTTCGTGAGTTCACAGCAAAACTTGTTTTTACAAAAAAATTAAGACGCCATGATAGAGGTAAATAATTATAGATAGAGCTATCTATAATTATTTACCAGTATGGGGTGACAGTAGTCGAGTATTTTTCTAACTCAACAAAATATGGTATGTACGTTAATAAAAAAAGAAAAATTTTGATAAGAATAGCAAAACTACAAATCATAAATATTTATGTAAAATGTCACTCTAAATCGGCGTATAAGAATTCGCCCCAATAAAGTCCTCTACAGAATAACTGGTTTCTCAAGATAACTTTTGGTATTTTATTAGATTGATCTTAATAAATATACAATATCATATAAGAATTCTAAATTAAGTATTCCTGTTGTACAGTACTCTGTGTTTATGTTATTAAGGAAATTTCGTAAGAAACAAGTTTATGGCGGAGATTGTGGTATTTAGATACCTACGCAAAATATTATAAATCAAATATGTGCTATATATTTTAAAAACAAAGCTCGTATATATATATTACGTTATAATTTGAAATGGAAAATGTCCTTTTACCGCTTAATGTTAAATTAGAAATTTTTTCTATTTTCTATTTCTATTTAGAAATTGAAACCTCATATAAAAAATTGTGCGTCTACTATTTAGTAAAATAAGTAGGCAACGTACGTAATTTAGTCGTTTAGTAACGATTAGGCAATTCTGCCATTGCCAGTCAACAATGGAATGGCTGTGCAATTACGACGAAATGTAGCCAAAGCAATTAGATATTTAGAAACTTATTTGTCTTAAAATCGTAACTCTTTAATTCCCGGAAACAAATTAAATAAGTATATAAAACATAAAAAATAGGGTATATATACTTTCTTAAATACTTGAATATATATATTTTTTAATTTATTTTATACGAGATAAAGTTTAACTGTACACCTATCAAGACTTTTGAGACAGATGAGATCTAATCATATCGTCCATTTTTTTTGCCTACTGTCAAAATCGAGATAACGAAGATAACGAAAATCTAATATAATAACAAAACAAAATTGACTTGCCTGCCGTTAGATTGTGGAGAAACTGGTGGCGGGGTTGCAGTAGTGGTTGTGGTAACATCCTCGTGTGTCAGCTTCCGGAAAGTGCGAGGCGACAATGGAGTGCGTGGTGACGGCGGTTCAGGAGTGACTGTTCGTTCATCATCATCATCTTCTATATGCCTGTAGTTTCGGTCATTACCGAGGGCTCGCCTCACTAACTCAGGGCTGGCAAGACGATTAGATGCGCGAAGCATGCCTGGTCGCAAGCCGGGTGCTCCGTATGTGAAGGGTGCGGAGTCTGCGCGCGCGTGGTACGGTATATCTGGGGCTCGGTCGGCGTGCGACTGCGAGCCGGCGGTCGCGGGCGGCGGGTCGGGCAGCGCGCTCACCGTTCGCAGCATGTCACCGAGCAGCGTGTCGAGCTCATCTGGCGGGCTGGGGGCGGCGCGGCGCCCCGCCGACGATATGCCGGAGTCCATCGAGGCGCTGAGCGGTGAGGCTGGCCCGCCGCCGCCGGCGCGCACCACCGTCGCGTATATGGACCCGTCGAGAGGTCCAAATGTATGGGCAGCTTCGCTTCCGTCGCCTGTCTCACCGCTCGAACCCGAACCCTCGGCACTGCCGTTATTCTCGCCTGTGCCAAAAATAGGATCCAATATACTATAAATGCACTACAATAGTAATAATCATGTCTCGAGGTGACATGTTCAGCAATGGTAAGTATAAATTACAAATAGCTTTTAAATTGAATTCGATTTGCTCCAATAAACAAGTGGTAGTGAGTGATCTTATCTCAAACTTGTTTAGTTTTCTTCAGTAGTGTGTGTTTTGTATCACTTAACATATTTATAACTAGTAATTGCAAATTATGACTACCAGCGTTTTGCACTTAGTGCTGTAGGTGCAAGGAAGTGAGCTATTAATTAACCGTTCATCTTCTATATTCAGTGGTCCGTGCAGTTACGTGTAACTGGAGAGTCGGAGTCTGACTGAATCCTTAAAAGGGTTAAGTTTACATCCCGTTAACCTACCAGATGTGTGACATTGCACCGTTGTATAAATTGTGGAATCTCTTGTGAAGTCGATCACAAACAAACAACTTCTTAAGATTTGAAGTCATTTAAATTTAAATTATTAGCCCATTTATCAAATAAAGAAGTTACGTTTTATTCACGAAAATTACTTAGAGACGACCAGATCCACCACATATCATAATTACAAGAAATAATTAATTTTCAACGGACAAAATCAGAGGAAACATCTAATAAATAAACATACTAATGAGGCTTGTATGTTAACAGTGCTACTATTATACGAGTCTAAAAATGTATTGGATATGTAAGTATGTTAGTATTAACAAAATTTGGAATGACGAGAGCACAGATAACCTCAATTTAAAATCGTAAGCAAGTATGAGCGGAGGATATGTTCTCGCAAGTTGGCGGTTCAAGGTGATACAGGCTATTTAGGAAGTGGCCTCAAAACTCGTTACAATCAACTGCTTTTAGTTATAGCATCATTATTGTTACTGCTGTACCGTTGTTAATAATTAATTCGAATAATAGCATTGCAAGTTATCCTTAAATGATAACATTAAAAAATTGTTTATATTTTTAATGGCGGAGGATGCCAATTCGATGACAATGTTACGAGACGTTTTCCCTAAAATGGATCATAATTAGGTAATAGTTCACTCCAAAAAATTTTTATTCTGAAGACGGTTTTTACAAACTATGTAAAAACCGTCTTCAGAATTGAAATGAAACTCATTCTGTGGGTTATGTTAACTCTCCTCTCATTCATTATATTTTATGTATGTACTATAAAACTGTCTATATATTTTAAATTCATTATATTCATCGTTATATATATATATATAACTTTATTCGTATTGTATAAAATAATGTCCCTCACATTGGTGTACTATATAATTTTATATACGAGGTCGTAGTCAGTACGTACAAGAAGAGGGAAGGGGTACGGGGTAACAATGACCTTTAAAAACTTGTTGTACTTCCTAGAAAGTTTTAGATTTCTACTGATATCCTGATTTGCTGAAGTCGAAAGCGAAACCGGTGGTTGATCAGTTGGCCGGCTGATTAAGAAAATCTCTAGCTACTTCGATGATTGTGCATTTATTAGGTCTCGTTTACATCTCAAAGTTTGTCATCGCTTTCAATTACATTTAAAAAAAGTGACAATGTGACAAACGGAAAGTCACAGTAAAGTTAAAAAACCGGCTTAGAATGAAACATACACTACTGGCGATGTCTTTAAACCTGTAAAGACCGATTCTATTTTCAACGTATTGGTAATACAATAGTAATATTATAAACGAAGAACTGATTCGTTTAATTTATTAATAGAATCTTTTTTGTATATTCAAACTTTTTCAAAAATATATTTGAACTTGTACGTATCTTACGTTAACATATTTTACAACATTATTTAGTATCCACATACAAAGGTGCCATTAAGTAAATCCATAACTAGGTGAAATATGTTGGTAAATATTTAGGTATACAATTTTAATGCTGAGAGAAAGATAACACATGAGAAGAGGTTTACTATAACTATTTTTTTAAAGGTATCTTTTATGTAAAGACATAATATACGTCGTATTCTAAATAGTTTTTATTAAGTGTACATGGGTACTGTCAGAATATATTTCAATGCCAATGAGAAAACTGCATGGTGATTGTTAAAATAATAATGTTAATTATAGTATTATTGTATATTTACTTAATTAATTGCTATAAGTATCAGCAGCTTTTAAATTTTGTGACAATTCAAAAAAGATACTACATTATATATATAAAACATACGTAAAATTATCTTGTAATAAATTTTGTACTACTTAATACCTAATTCAAGTGTCTTAGGGACGGTTGTATGGTTTCGAAAGAGAACTGAAACTGAGGTTGTCAATAACGCAATTAGTGTAAAGATATCAACGTCAGCGTCTGGTGACCGTCGACGTCGGCCGCTGTTAAGGAAGATGTGGTTATTTCTGTTATGTCAACGAAAATAACGCGGCTCGGCTTAGCGCGGGGCTACTGTTACGAAATGTGCGCCGGCGCAGGAAGAGGATGTGCGCCCTGCGATCGACGCCCGCGCCCTACTCGCCTAGGACGCCATCCGTTACATAAAATTATAATGGATCTATCATCTAGGAAAGCTAATATACTTCTTGTGGAGGGATGGTATCACTGTTAATACTATACAGTTACAGATCCACCAAACTATGTGGATGTTGATTGACTGGAAACTGTCATGGTTAATGAAAGATTTGCCTTAAAGGAAATTATAAAAAAAATTGGATTGTACTTCATACTATTATGGTCTACATAGCATCATCACAAGTAAGCGACATTGTTAGATCATATTTAGTAATTCCATCATCATCCAAAAAATATAGCTGACGTTATGTGTAATACTTATACTCAAAAATAAGTAAAGACACGATGTATTATTTGCTTAAATCTAGAGTACTTATCATTATTATTATTTACAGGAACTAAATAAGTAGGTACCTACTTCTTAAGTATTTGTACACTTATTTGCAAATGTTCAAAATGGCTCAATAAATGTTTTCTATATATAATATTAAAAGCTTTTATTTTTCATAAGGGAAAGAATCACATAAAACATATTTTTTTAATAAATTACGATGTACTTTTTGATCCTATTGTTACTATCTATCGCCGAAAGACATATATCGTCGGTGTAGTAGACAGGCTTTTTAGTTCGTTAACTAATGAAAATGAGCGTGTCCATGTACAATGATGCCTTGTTTTTGGTAACGCACCTGTCACGCCCACTTTACGAATTGTATTAATACTTTTTGTAATATGTTTTGTTAATAGACAAAACATATTACTTTCCTATAAGTTACAATTTCTAGTACTAGTAGTTAACCACCCTCCAAACTGTTTCAAATATCATGAGTTTTGCCATAGAAAGCTTTGCATGTCAATTAACAACATAAAAGATTCTCCGGTGATTGATACACTGATAACAAACTAAATTAATCCAAGAGATGGCTATAGGCTCTCTTCTCGCCATTTTGGATTCAATTATATTCAGCGAAATGTGGGCATATTAATTGTTGCATTTACAATGACGTCAACACATAACAATGCTTATGACTGTCCCATCTGGTATAACAGTCGTGAAGGTATTATTAGTAACTATTACAGATATTGAACTGTTGTAAGAATGACGCTGTGTTGTATGAAGGTGAACGTGTGTTCACGCCGGGTCGCAATGATGTCATCAGGCCGCTCCACCTTGTGTTTCTACGAAACGAAACTCTGTATTATTATTCAAACCGCTTCCCTATCTCCGTTCGTTATAGTCGTTAGCTTCAAAATGTAAAGCCATCTTTATACCTATTTTAAAATTACATAAAGATCGTTCGAATAATATCTAGGTAATTTAAGTACTATTATTTTACAATTTATCATCGTCTCATAACATTATTCAATGAACAAATATGCTATTTTAGTTTAATAATTTACAACATTGTGTAGGTACTTATAGACAGTACGAAAGCAAACCCAGTGAATATGCCTTACCTAGTAGACTTACCTAGAAGTTGACAAAGGAGAAGAGTCATATTCAAACTATAATAACAGGCATTTAATTGGGACTCTGAGTCGAACGAGTACATTACCTAAATTGAACGTTCCGGAAGGGAATATGCACATTCACCACGCGTCAGTGTAACTGGACTTAAGAACGCGACTGTCAGAAAAAGCTTAAGATAAAGTACTGATTGTGGCAGAATATTCCGTCTGATATTTGATAAGAAGTAGCAGTAAGCAAAACATTCAAAGAATATTATTCTTGCTATTTCACTTCTTTCATAAGCATGAAGCATTGGATATGTCAGATTAATTAATCTGATAACATTGTGTATAAAAATATTAGATTACTAGGGTCTGATATTCATCAATTGATATACATAAATCAATATTGGTTTGTATTAGTTCAAGCAAAAGTCCGCCAGCTGCATTTCCAATTAAGAGAAAATTGATATTGCTACAGATAAGAGGTACAAAATAACCGACATTATTCTCATAGCAATATCTCAGTTTTGAGTTCAATTAAAAAACATCGCATGTAAATACAAAACGCAACTAACATTTATTAAAGGGAGATACACAAGCAAGACAGTGTGTCTCTTTTTTAACCTTATTATGTATAACCTGGGACAGTAACAGATATATACGAGTCTAAAATATTATCAATAAAGAACATAATAGCGGATGTACACTTTATAAACAGAACTTGACTATTGGCAAGTACCTACTCGTGTGAGTCAGTGATTGTTTCGGTTCGTTTAGGCTGAATTGAGACGAACTGTGACGAACGGGTTGGCCCTCGAGAATGCCTCGGGGCGAAAAGTCACCGCGCCGACGAGAGCGAGTGGATATCCATCAGCGATTCTCCACACCAGTCAATTAGTGCAAGCGGCGCAAGCGCCGCCGCAGCGGAACCAACGCACTCACATCTCGTTTGTCATCAATAACAATACCGTGTCCAGTCCTCTCATAAATTCTATTGTTATTAAAGAAAACATGTCTGTACACATTATAGATAAATTTTATCACGCCTGTCACCACACACGCATTGATTTTTGACACAGTTTAGTTTTATCTACCACCTATTAACATAAAGTTTACTGAAGCCAACAAAATACAAGAGCGTGTTTAACAATTGGAAACTTGTCCCACTCACCTCGATTTTAACTCTTCGATAGTAGAAGACGACCGTTACCGAATTTCGTGTTTTGCTTTTATTTTACGAGCTCACTGTTACACAACTCCTATGTTAGTCACATTAGTTTTAGTCAGTTTCTTTAATAAATTATAATAATCGTAAAGTAGTTGTGTTATAGTTTGGAGAGAGCGTGTAGCGTGCCGCCGCGAGATACGGCGACGACTGGGCGGGCGGCGACGGCTGGCTCGTTCCGGGCGGCGCGGCGCCACCACACAGTGCCGACTACTAACACTAAAATAGCTTCGCACCTGCAGCACCGCAGATAAACCGCGACCTGCCCGCTTACGACCGCCTTGTCTACGGTGCTTTGACACATTTAAACTTACTTTCTTCACTTTACGTCAATAAAAAAAAATAACCACTGTAATACTACTGATTGAACTTCTTTATATCTATAACTAACAGCTATCGGTTACGTTTGCGATTATACTGATATGACGCGTATTTATATACTAGCTATGCTCCGGACATAGTCTGAGTAATTATAATTGTAAATTACGAATATGTATAATAAAACAAGAGATATATAGAAAATGCCTTTGAAAAGGTTCTATCAGAATAAAGGCATTTTCTATGTATATTAATTTTGACTAGAACATGCTCTTTAAGTATGCTTACTCTAAATACGGGTCTCGGACATAAAAGTTGATCGGACTTGAAAGTTTATCTTTCCCGTATCAACAAATGTCAAAAACTATTATAGTATTGGTTTATAATTTTAACAAGATAATATGATAAACAATTTTAGTATATTCGGTATACATATATCGAATCGGTCGAATAAGGTTTTGGTCTCCTATAAATATTTATTACATTCTGTAATTAAATTGGGAAACTAAAACCAAATAATTTTATCCTGTATAACATTCAGAAAACCGATCAAGACTGTACCTCACCGCTAGTTTGAATGTCACTTATGCATTCATAATTTGGCGCATAAGATTTTTATGAGATTATATGATGACATTGATAGTTTTACAACATAACATAGGTATGTTATGTTGTACAGCATGCGACTTTTAATGTCTTCCCACTTATTAGTAACTTACAAAGGCACATGCAATTAAGTATAGACCTAAAAATTGTAAAAAAGCCTTTGAAGTAATTTTAAGTATGCCATTTGACTTTACAAATACAAACCCAGTGTTAGTTATCTACCTACGAGAACATAGTGTCAGTTATCTCTATAGTTAATTCTAAATTATTTTTACTATTGTTTTAAATATTGTCTGGAAATCGGCGGTCACTATTTGAAATTGTATGGTTCCGTCGCAAACTCACAATTAACAATAGGTATAGGATCACGATACTAATCGACACGCTAAACCAGCACATGTTTCTTCATTATTTGACTCGATATATAAATAACCGAAAATAAATGTTCAATAAATTCCATACTAAAATAGATAAGTATCCACTTGAAATTCATATATGTATAGATGCATAAAATTTTAATTCTTGAGCCAGATATAAAATCCTAATTATATACACCTTATCTCTAGTTACGCATCAGATATATAAGTACATAAGAACCGGGGATAATAAAAAAATGATTTCACCATCGATTGTATGTAAGTATTAGTAATCAGAAGCTTTTTGTCATTGTATAATAAGTTTAGCTTATGTAACTCTTTCATATGTTATTAATATCATTAAATTGCCTTGTATTTATAATTTTATTTTTTACGTAGGGACGGATTATGAATATAACGCAATATCATTTTTTTCATATGTATTGTAGGAGATGACCATGAAAATCGAAAACTCTCAAGATAAGGAAACTTATATGGAATCAATATGTGGAATAATAATGGATTGTTGTAATGATCATGATGGTGGTGGTGCGTATCGAAAATAATTTATTTCGATATCAATTTAGTTGTTGGTTTTATATAGTCATAATACACAATTATTCCATTACATTGTTCCATTCAATTACATAGAACTTTTAATATAAAAGCTTTCTAGCCCGGAAAGTATTTAAAAATTTACTCAGTATAATTCCTAAACTGGTTTACACTACTAAAACAACTTACTTTTTATATATTTTTGTTTAGTATCATTTTAAAGATTACTTATATTTTTGCCGTATTAATAAAAAAACTTGCATAATAATATGTACTCTATATAATATATATTACATATTAAGTAATATACACACTGTAGTAAGTAAGGAACACTGCCGTTCTTTAGCTACATACTTGCTAACGAGTAACGGACGCGCAGTTAATAATATTATTAGTGCTGCAGCACATGAAAACGTCTGAGAGGTGTAGTTAGTTAGACACGCCTTCCATGTGCCAATATTACAGGAATAGACTGAAAACTGCGGATGTTGCAGCAGTAAAATATAATGTTGGTCTGGATAATAGATTTCATATAAATACCCATAAAAGCAACATGAAACAAATAAATTTGTTAAACATGCTTCCAAAACCACGCATGAGCAGAACACGAATAGACTCTCTGCAAATATTCAAAGAATGTAAATTGCTCTGATTTATACGTATGCAGGAGTAGGTTATTAAATTATTTTGATAAGTAACTAGACATTATATAATAAAAATCTACATTTAGCTGAATTTGATAGATTAGATTTCGGTTAGTAAGATTTGAAATTGAAATTTGGTTTATAATATTTAAAAATAAATGTCCGTAGCTATATGTATGTACTGAGGACAAAAAATATATTTTTAAAAGAATACTTCTGTTTCTGCATGCTAGTGCGCTTAATGTTTATTCCATTTTAATCTGTTTACAAGCAACAAGTTAAGTTAAACTATTGTCATTCCAAATGCAACTCGCACAAAGTTACGGGCACAGCCAATAAATATGCAAGCGTTAGCAACTCACACAGCGCCATTAAGACACTAAGCAGAATACATCCCATAGGTAAGACAACTATTTGGCATACTTAATATTTTTTTTGGAAATTATTACTTAATAATATAAATATTCAAAATTACTCAAACTAGACAGAAACAATATTTATTCACCAATTAAGCTTTATTACTATATACCATAACATTATCTTAAATGCCAAAGCTGTGGTATGTTCAAAATAGAAGCACAATTATAATATCCCGATATATAAATATCGGTAATACACATGTATTACCACAAAGTAACCTTATATCCAATAATATAATGAAAAACATTAATAACGTACTAAAAGTACCTATTAGTAGCAGAAAGTTATTTTAGGAAATTATTTAACAATAAGGAAGTAATCTATTTTATTCTAAACGAACTTTGAAATTACTTTACCGTTATTCTATATGAATATGTGTGGCTACATTTTGTTATCTTAAAAACATTGGTTATATCTAGACATGTAATAAAACTGTAGAGGTCGAATGTCTGTACATAAGAAAAAAAGAAAAAAAACCGTGTCAGAGGGATGTTAGAAGTGAAATAGAACACATTTAGAAAATTTAAAAGTTATTGATTTAAATGAATTTTTTCATGGAGGTAGCTTACATCTCCGGTCAACGTCTTAGATATCTTTAATCACGGAAAATTAAAGAGTTCCAGTGGGATAGTTAAATATCTAATGGGATAGTTAAAAGTTACTATAGTAACTAATAGTAACTTTTATTTAAATTAGTATAAAAAGTGATTATGACCTATGCAATGCAAAGAGAGAGAACAAATCATTGAATATTTTTTATTATTTGGTCCAGGACACTATAACACGCGGACGAAATCGCGGGCAAAGCTAGTTAGAAATAAAAACCCATGTAAGTAAGATTTCTGAAAATAGTTATTCACTAACGAAGGCTCACAATAATTACACAATTTCTAATATTTATGAATAATTTCTTAACAAGGTGGAGAAGTCAGGTGGTGAACATAAAGTGGGAATTGCCTCTAATGCAGACGTTCGAAAATTCAGTGACACTCCTAATAAAGCATTATTAAATAAGGCATTCAATTTCTTTGTTTTTTTCTCTTTATTCGTATCGACAATATTATATTCAATACGTGTAGAAATTATAAGTATTATTTGTATAATTTTATAGCATATTGTACCTAAAGTGTTTTACTCACAAAACTTATGCTTTATCAAATAATTTTATTTTATTCAAACTGCATATTTTTATTATCTAAATCAATACCGAATAGCAAACTTTAAATCACCTACGTACACTTTGTACAAAACCTTCTATGGATATATTAGAATGGGTTTGACTTCTTTCTCATCTATTTATGCCGTCAAGCAGCCTTCTTTTTGAAATCCCAGTATAATTAGCCTTGAATCAATCAATGGAGGATTGACATCTTAGTTTAATGTGATTTTCGTGATATTGTTTATATATGCAGACGGTATCACTTTTCATCAGGCCCGTCGCCAACTTATTTGTCATTTTAGTTCTATATAAAAACAATAAAAGTCAAACGTTACAATATCCACTCACCATTGTCGTCATCAGTTAGCGTCGAGAGCGGCCTCAAGTGTTCGAGTGAGTCGGCTCTTGCAAGCGCATCGGGGGCAGCTCGCAGTGGTGCAGCGGGGGTCGGCGCGGGCGCCGCTCCGCCTGTCCCCTCGCCTCGAGCAAATACTAGTTCCACAGCCCCATCATTCGGAAATAATGGATCTGTCAACAATTAAGATTTATTCAATTAGTATTATATAAAAAAAGTATAACCTAACCTAAATAATAATAACAACCACTATACATATACCAGGAGAATTCAATAAGTACAAACTAAGTAGACCTATGGGTAGTATACAATTAATAGAGATACATAAACACTACTAATACAAACAATAATATTCACGAGTGCAAATATTTCTCTCGTGTCAGAATCCAATCCACGACGTGCAGTAGACATGTCTTAATATAGGAATTATACATCTATAGGTTAAACATAAAATTGAGTACCGAGGACCTATGTCTATGTAGCTAACTTATCCCTAGTTCTAGAGATACTTTAGTTGTCACTCAGACAGTAGCTATAACCTTATTGGTATTAACCTATTGTAATCAAATTGCGCTACTTGATCACGACAAGTTTATCTGGATCAGGTTATACAGCGTCTATATGTCTATCAAGTCTTACTCTATTTATATGCTTATCTAAATATGACAGTTCGAGAATTGATATCGTTGTAGATATAGATAATACACGATATGCCACTTGCTCACACGCGTTCTACCGAATATATTCCACTTAGTAAGAGTAATATTTAAATTTATTACAAGTATTTACCGTCGTCAGAACGCCACGGAAAAATTGCCATTCGGTAATTTTTCCGAGGCGTGGCTGAATATTGCTTGTCACATAAGGGATACCAAACTAATAAACCGATATATGCTGAGTTCTTTTCTATCTTTATTTATGAAATGACAATAAATTTTACCATGGGTGGCATGGTCGAGTTGTTGCTTGGTGAAAGATAATGTGTGGTCAGCAACAGCGCAGGTATGGAACTGGCACGCGAACGCGAGCATTCGCGGCGGAGAGCGCGCGTGCGCAGGTCTCCGGTACGCGCGAACTAGCACGTCGCCACGAAGCGCCAGTCGTCCCACACCCACCGTCCAACCGCCCCCGCTCACCATATATAAACCTGCCAAAAAAATCTTTAATTGGATTTTTTACACAAAATAGCGTTTACGTTATCATCTATTTACTAGTTTGAACTCTATATGGCGAGAAGCAATTTTGAATCGACTATAAAATTAGAAGTGGACAAAAGATATATACTACTGAATTTGGGCATTTTATGACTTGGATATAACAGTGAAATGTGATACCACGATACATAAAATGTAATATACCGTGTGAATGAATTCTCTTTCTCATTTTTTCCTTCATCGTCTCTGACGCCCTACCTTATGAAAAGTTGTAGCCATAGATTGTAGTAGACATCAACAGTAATGAATGATCGCAAGTTTACACTTCCGTCCGTTTACGATTATAGATGTGCTTCAGTTTGAAGACAGGGAAAATAGAATCGTTATATTCTGGCATAACACCTTAGACTCGTTCATTAATATGGTTGATTTCAATTAAATGGGTTTGCCACTTGTTGCCATTCCAGTTATAATAAAAAAAAAAACAGAGTTCAACATAGTAACTTTGAACATTGATACCAACGTTCAAATATTTAAAATAATTGTGTGTATGATAATTATAACACAAGCTGCTCGTCGCGGCTTTGAAATGGTGAAGATTTTTCCTCTTAAGTTGAGTTATTATTGAAGTTTTAATAGGGATTCCTAATTTATTTCTAATAATAAATATAAACTACGGATTACTAACGGATAATGTAGCATTCTAATTTGTAGTTTTTGAGTATTATCGTTATAAATGTCGAAATTTTTCTTCTTTATAATGTTTTGCAGCTGTAAACCAACCTGATGTGTACACGCAGACGAAGTTCTCATAGATTTTAAGGAATGCTATAGTAGGAGCGGCTGGTGATGCCAGGGAGCCGGCGACGCTCACGTGAGTCAAGTGCAGCGGAGCGGCGTTCACGCGAATCTGGCCCGCCAACAACCCCGCGAATGTATCTATATACCTGTAAATATATTGAGTTTAATAACTACTACCCATTAGAAGTGACAAATAAGATAACGGTCCACTTGTTTTTTTAAATGGGCCAATAGGGCTTTATTGCAAGAAATGCATGGTCCATTTTTCGTGAATTCACCACAACGATCTGATTTCAACAACTGATATCATCCGTACGCCCTTTATGATAACCTTAGCAGTAGGTATATATTACTAGTGCATGCGAATTACCTTTTTGCAAAATAAAACTAGTGATCAATCCTTAAAAAAAATAACCAAAGCTCTTTATACATGACATACACAAATAGGAAGCGGAGACAATTTACTGTATATTAAGCTGAATTTAAACTGTATGAATAAGAACTAGAAGAGATTTGTTAGTTCAATAATACAAAATAATGCGATGCATAGGTGAAATATTGTCCAAGAATGCTAATGAGAAACTAAAGAATGTTGTTAGCCCTTATTGTTCATGTATCAAAACTGACCAGAAGAATCAATAATAATGAAATGAGTAGTAATTATTGGCCACTTTTCAATAATCTAAGTAGTCAATTATAAAATTTGTTTTTTGTATACTATCCGTCGTCTGTAGTTTGACAGCCGTAACGAAACCAAACACGGCAGGCGCTTTCAAATAATTATCTAATAAAAATGAAAATCCTGCGTATTGAAGTGTACTGGGGTATGTTTGCAAGTGTCTATAAATATACGTTTTGGACACTAATCCGTTTTAGCGAGCAGGAAATAAAAGCTACGGAGCAACGAAGGTATTTCAGTAACTTGTAACCTAACACTATCAGCTATGTTTACAAGTGTCCATAAAGAAATCAATAAAGTAATAAAAAATACATGAATATTTAGTATTAAAAATTAATTACCGTTTGTTCGATGGTAAACCGAAGACCGGCACTCGATCGTCAAGGTACCTCCTCATAGCATACCGATCTAACGCATGTTCTGGAGCTCCACATATCGCAGAATAGTGCATGTACGCTGCCACTAAAACACCGAGGCCCTCTCGATTGCCCCTGTAAGTGGACATACATCGGTATACATTAGTAATAAATACTGTAATAAGTATTAGATATTATTTATAAAACGATATGATTTATTACGAAGAATAAAGATATTTTAACAAATACGTTTACTCTTTTATTATGGAATAAACTCATATTACTAGGGTATAGCTTTTTACACCTGTAGTAAGCTATACCCAAGTAATACCTAAAAGATAGTGAAATTAGGTAAAAATAGTTTTTAGTTTATCCATGAAAATAAACAGACAATGAAATTTGTAACTTTCCTATATAGATAACATTATATTTTATACAAGTAATTTTATTGTACATTATTTTTCATTTTTCAAAGGTTATAAAGGTTGCGCTGCGAGCCAGCTCTCAATGTGTTTGCAGGTTGCGGAAATATTAGATTTCTTTCAGAAATGATGATTACAGGATATATCCAAAATTGATAACCTATGTATGACCTATAAACGATTTCGGGTTATTGACTTATTGATTGAAATTTCTTATAACTGCTATAATAACTGCGGTAACTTACCAGGCTAATAATACAGCTACATTCTTTGGATGCGCTGCGAGCCAGCTCTCAATGTGTTTGCAGGCTGCACAAAGTTTCTCGAGCGGTGGTGCCAGGTTTCCCACCCATCCCAGCAGTTTCGCCCTCCCGAACACGTTACGTGCTCGACTGTCGCTACTGCCATCGCCACTGCTCACCTCGAACACCTGATTATAATTATAATTTTTTATCTAACTGGAATAGCAAACTTACAATGTGTGAAGGATATCAAAAATGTCATATGATAATGTTGCCACTTACCATCTGGTGATCTCACTGCTTGTTTGCCATTTAAATATAAAAAATAAGACATATTCAGTGGTATTTTATCTTTCGACTTACGTTTATGTTTTGATTAGGTACGAGCTGACTGTAACTTAGTCGAAATGTCGAATGTCTTAGTAGAAAATATCTTTATTTATCATAAAATTATTCGTGTTAGACCCAATTGAAAATCATACATATCATATAATCAATATAATAATCAATGAACTGTTATAGTATGCACTCACCATAAAATGTTCACCATGTTTGTTGTTTAGCATGTGCGCTGCTTGCTTTTCTGATTGTGCATCGCGTTCAGGTAGATGTAAAGCCAGCATCCGTTCGGCCACATAGCACAAGTCTAGTCGGGAGGTGCCCGCAGCGCTTCCGGAGTAACTCACTGATCGTGGTCCACTCTACAAATCATAAACTCATTTTAAAATAATTGTATTGATTTGATACGACATATCCAACTTTCAACAACAAAAGGTTTAGCGAATTACGGAATGATAATAGGTGATTCTAATTTTAACCAAGATACGAAAGATAATATCTGTCTGATAAAACAACTCTTCAAATAAAATGAAAACATTGCAAACATTGCAAACGGTTCATTTGTTTCGGATCTACAATATTACAAACAAAGACTTACAATATCCCTTTTTATATTGAAGGCAAAAAAAGATATTCAAATTCGATAAAACACAATTTACGGATATCTAACCAGAGAAAAAGAGATAGATTGATAATAATCCTACTACAGCTCATATAATCAGCAGAATAAGCTATAGTTTTCTCGTTTCTATATGACATATCAAATATCAGTTTGTTTGCCCGCTATAATTCTGTGAAAGTGACACAATCCATGCGTAGGCGCACGCAAATGCGACGTGACAGCTTGAACGCGGACTTCTAAGCATATAATCCGATTAAGTTGGTCGATGCACAAGTTCTACGTAAGTTCATTTAAGCACAAAGACGTTTATTTTGTGCCGGTACATTGGATTTTACCGATAAAGTTAATAATTGCTATTACAGTTAGGTAGTCAAGTATGTATTGTATTTATAAAAATAATATACTGGATGTAGAAGAATGTGCAAGTGTGATTTTTCACGATTTAAGAATGGAACAAAAACAAAAATATAATACTGGAGAGAAAAGACTAAGCTAATAATATTTTTTTACTATAACTTAGAAAATAGATTTAATTAAAGCAATTTAGAACATTATTCCAATGAGATAAAGTCAGAAAATGCATACTTGTATTATATTTGTTTATTATTTCGGGGATAATGGTGGATAGCTACTCAAAATAGATTATATGTGTGTTGTCAATGGTCGTCAGTTCCGGACTCTTTTACACACATATTGTACGTTTACAATTACAACATATATATTACACTTGCCACATACATTACATTACACATGTACTATAAAAGAGTGTTATAAAAGAGTAGAGTCTATTTGTTATCTTATTGATATATATTACTTCTTATTGTTATTGTTTGGATTTTAGGAGTGAGACGAAAAAATCTTACCATTGCAGGTTAGATTCTTCACACGGTATAAACATTTGTATTCATAAGTATGATTGTTTGTACAGGTCTGGATATTTTCTATGTATTTTATGTATGTATTTATAAAAAAAATCCATTTCTATCAGTTATCTAGTAACATAATACAAGCTCTCCTTAGGTTGGGACTAGATGGCGCTGTGTGAATTGTCCTGAGTTATTATTATCTATTATCTAGAAAGGGGTGAATTAAGGTACGATAATTTGTCTTAATCGCGAGTATCAGTTAGTACCTACTCTATAACCGATCTTTATGTGTAGGAACCTCTACACTCGTTTCCATCAATATACATGTCACGGTATTTCCACCATACTACAGTCATGTCCAAAACGTGTTGTATTTACAAACATTTCACAACATGTTATAAATCAAAATGTATTTTGGTAGATTCACTGTATATTAAACACAACATATTTTCGACTTGTAAATTATTATTGGAAAAGGAGGATAATATCTTATTGTTTATTAATAAAGCAAGACTAACATAGATTGGTTTGTAGTAATTTACTATTTATCAGAATTTCTTGTAAATAAATAAAATCTTGTCTAACACCAAAGGTTAGTTTTTGATTTATTAATTGCGATTTCAATGACTCAAGAAAAGGCCAACCTGTTCTCTTGTGAAGCCAGCAGGAGTAGCAGGTGCACTAACTGCTCGTGACTGAAACAAAAAAAAATACATTGAATATGACATTAAAACTCTTTCTCTTACTTATCTTCTTTGAAAGCTCAATAGTGTGAAGACAATTAACAATGTGGATTATTATGCAAATACATACTGTATAGAAGGCGAATCATTGGTAAGGAAGATAGAATAAAAGAGACAGAATTCAGTGGAATGCATCAAGTCTATCACCCATTAAAAACAAATACCACTAAATATTATTAAGATTATTACAGTATCAATATTAAATAAATGTATATATTTACATAATTAGGCCATTATGTATGTATATATATATATATTACCAATTTCGTCATTAACGGAGACTTTATAATACGTCAAGAGGCACGGTATGGCCCGGAGCCTATCGCGATCGGATGGACGGATCCAGTTCAATAAAGCTAATAAACGAACTCGGGTGCCAAGGTGTGGCTTAAGTGATTACTGCAGCTTTTGTGGGGTGCTGCGCTTGTTCGCTGTTTATTACATGTATTGCCGCTCTTATATAATTTGCAATGAATCATCAACAAATTGGTTGAGTTTTGCAAGATAATTCGGGATAGAGTTTTTTCTATTCCTTATGTGTTCTTTTTACAAACACTTATTTTTTCGGTCACTGTATTTATTTAAATAAATAAAAATCCATTACCTAATATATGTAAATAAATGTTCAGGAAGATATAACTCTTTATTTAAACATTTCTTTATTAGTTATGAAAAGTAAAATTAATAAATTTGATTGGTCATTCGTTTATATTTATAAGTCCTTAGAAATATAAAAATATAGATGTAGGCGTCGTAGAGAATTGTGCGACCAACCGTCCCATAAAATCTTTATATTATGGTAATAATCAAGTCTATGTTTTATACAAACAATATGACGAATAAGAGCAAGATATGTTTGTTGTAAAAACGTCCAATATGCCTACGTGTATAACGAACAGACGCCTCTTTGCAGAGGTTTAGTAAGTTACATAACAAACCGATTGACGTATACGAGAACCAGCAACGGAGCTGCGGGATCGGGCGCGAAGTTCTCTAGGCCCTCGCTGTAAGTAGAACACAGCTCGCCATAATGCAAACGCCAGTCGATGCAGTGTCCTCGCTGCGTCCGCGCCGCCTCCGTACCGTCGTGCTCTCTCACGCATTCTCTTACTTCACCTACGCACACTACCTCCGCAATCCATTTCACCAAAAGGGCACACAAAATTTCCCATCAATATTCAGTGTAATGACATGACACTTTCACTTCTGTCGGACATCTAAACTTGTCTAAAAACTATGCAATGGTAATCTGTAAATAACGTTCTCGAAATAATTCTCCATACGTATAGATACGGTGTTTAAATCAGTAACCTAAAATAATATTGTAATTAACATAGTTTGTAAATTTTTGCTACTAAATGACTTAATTACCCACTAGCGCGTATGTAGAATTTTCAATACAAATAATATTATATATATTAATATTATTTTATTATAAAACTTTAACAAGCTAGTACTCATGCTAATTCTAATCTTTGAGTTTATAATGTCTTACAAATTCATTAAGAGATCGTCCAAAATCGTATTTATGTCTTTTTTGAAGTATGCACATAAATGATTATCCAATTCTTTGTCACGAATTCACGACCATCCAAAACATTCCGTGGTAGTTTACATTCTTTGTACTATGTAGGAAGTACTTACATTTATTATTGGTTTTAATTAACTAAAATTCTTATGAATACTCGTGATACTTTACTTATAATATACATGTTGACCATGACCGTCAGTCACATTAAGTTGACAAGCTTGTTCAATACCGTTTTAAGACCGTTTTAATTTATAGTTTATGGTATAAAACAATCATAGATTTTATGGACCCATTTTATTGAGAGGAATAAAGGATCCTTTAAAATCAGATTACTGAAAAGCGATGTCTGTGATAACAAGAAAGTAGGGTGGCCAACGGTTCTGGGCGTTTGCCGCCCGCAGTATAAGCGGCGCGGCGCGCCGCCCGTGCCGGGGAACATGCATCTCTGCACTGCGTCATCTTCACTATTCTACCGACTGATTACTTTAATTTTAACATTTTACTCTCATCCCTGTTTATTTTTTACTGTACTTGGTATTATTCAACTTTAAACAATCTTATCTCAATTGACGTAAAGTAAATTATCGTGATGAATTTTCGCTTGGAATTTTGGACGCAAGATAATAGTGTAGAATTCTTATCACGATAATTGTAAACTCGAGCATAACCATGACCTTCCCCGTAAAACGAGCCCAACACGCGCGGAGGTTAACGACCTCGGGGGTGAGCTGCATCTAAATAAAAGATCGTCACATGTAGGAGCATGAACGGTCACCGACTGCAGACGGTCGAGACGTCCTTTCATACTGATTCAGCATACAGCTGTTATTGTTTATTCTAGATTCTTAAGCGATCTGTTTACTACGAAATCAATCTCCACTTCGTATCGTGAATTCACATAGAATCTGGCGCAGGGAGCACTTACTTTATTAAATATTAGCAAACTAACAATTAACATAATTTTTAAAAGTCTACAATTATAGAAATATAACAATTATTAATGATATAATAATGTCAAATGTACGTGTAAATGAATATCAGCAAACAGTTTAACACTCTAAATAGAGATTGTGGAGTTATCATATGTTATTGTACATGTTTAAGTTATCTATCATGAGATGAAGCTCATAAAAATATAATAAAACCATGAAATGTGTAAAAATAGATTCGATTTACTTTAAACGACGAAAAATAAAGTTTACGAGTTTACATATCATGTTTTTCACTATTTTCATGAATATTTCACGTATGGGAAACTTTTAAATTAGGAACGTTATTTTGCACTGTATTGTTTGAGTCTTTTCGCTGTAGGTATTAGTTTAAAATATATGATAAAAACACGTGTTGAAATGTTGTCTCTTTGGGAGAAGCTGTGCTGTATCGCGCGCGGAGCCGTTAGGAACACTGACGACGCCGACTAGAGGCGCACCGCAGCGTCCCGGCGCTCGACGAACTGGCGACGCCGCGTTGCTAAGCAACCGACGCATTCACTACTATAGCAACGTTCTCTAACATGTACTATTTTTCCAGCATCCGAACATTTCCTGTATTGACGCAATAATAAAAGTTGCGTTTTCCGTTTCAGCATGGACTCTAATGCTATATGCATGTTTCATGCTGCACTATTTCTGTATTCGTTACAAAATAATATGTTTTGTTAACAGTTTTATTGACATTCTGAGGAGCATATAAAACTTATAAGATTGTAGGTCTAGTTTCAGACGACACAAAATATTTGTTACTATTCGGTTAGTTCTTACGGCTCGAAGAACCTGCATCTGTATCAGTATCTAATATTGAACAGTTTTAAGAAAGATTCCAATTGAAACTAATCATCGTAAATGTATATTATTAACTAGGAAATAATTGTCAATTTTTTGCAAGGGTTGCGAAGGAGATTGGAAAATCACAGTGTATTTCGTTTGAAATGGATTAAACCCTTTGTTAACTATCCACATATATAACATAGATTGGAAGTAGAAAATTGTGAAAGTAAAATTATTATACCTGCACCATGTCTTGTTACAGATGGATGCTAATATAAATTGACGTTTGTCTGCAAAGTCAGATGGCAGCAAAAATAATTGTGCTTGACTGACACGCACGAGCTTGCCCTGCGTAGAGCAGGTGTCGTGAGAATATTGATAATAATGATATCTTAATGATGATGATGATAATAAAAATGATGATGACTTTTTTAATTTTATTAACTTTTTATACACCTTTATTAATTCATATGCCTATAGGTACTAAGTTGTTGAAATTCTGAATTAGTACAAGTAGTGTTTATTAAAAACGGCATACATTATAATTCGTTTTATGGGACTAATATTGTAAATACGGTAGTACCGTATGTTGGTTTGCAGTTTTTGTAGAGTCTGATCTGCTATATTTCGTTCGCCGCTCTATCCACCGATGATTTAATACCACGTCTTTTATGTATAAAGTTTTTGTAGGTATACTTTGAGTTTTGTAGTATTTTATTATTATTTATGAAATACATAATTTATATAAATATTATTTTATAATTTAATCAATTTAGATTGTTTCTTTCATTTTTAAAATTTATTTATAAAAATTTACGTATATATGAAGTAGGCTCATATATAAGTAAAATGACAACATATTCTGATCTGATCGATCATAGAGTTAGAAGGCGACTGTAAAATAAAACAATACAATGTTATCAATTTTTTGGGTTCCTTGATATGTCTACACCACGTCATAATCAAATGGCCTCGGCATGAAAATTTGTTTTATGTAATTCCTAAGACAACGTCAGTCTTAAAATTTTTTTTAAAAGTATTTATGTAGGTATAGTTTGCACGCACAGGTGTGTATCATTCTCTTATCAAACGTATGGTTGTATATTTATGGTGTATACACATCACTCATGGTGTATATAAACAGTACTTTATCTGAGATAATATAAACTTAAAACATACAAGGCCTTTAACACAACAACGACAAAAGGCATGTGTTGAAAAAAAATATATAATGTGAAATAATTTTGTGGGATAGCACTTTCCGCTATTAGCTTCTTTTTACCCGACGATCATATCTCGATAATTGGACTTTTAATTAACTTAAATTGAGTATAAATAACAAACAAATTACAATTGATAACAAGAAACAAAAAGCAAACTTTTATTAAGACTACTCATTAGTTAAATAATAAATCTAATTAGACTGACTGGATAAGTAATTACGACTGCCATACAGATATACCCCTGAAAAATGGTAAACGGTTACCATAGCCTATGGACGCCAGAACCACCAGAAGTGTCACGTGCACGTTGCCGACCCTTAAGAAACCTTAATATACTTTTCTTGAAAAACCCATGCTGTTGTCTCTGGAGAAAAACTCAGTAGGTCATTACACAATCTAAGTGTAAGTTGGAAAAACAGTAATTAGTATTAA